CCCTGCACAATGGCAGATCAACGTTACTGCCTTTTTGCGTATTTTTAAAGAGATATTTGATGGATATACAAATAAATGTGAATAGATATTTCCTCCCCCTTGAGAATTTTACAAATGGTAGCAGCTCTGTACCTTACCACATGGAGCTGTAGTACTGTAGAGCTATGAAAAGCTGAGGCTCTGGAAGCCCGTGTTCCAGTCTCGACTCTGTCATTTTTTACCATTGTGACCTTGGGCTGTTTCCTGACCTCTAAATGGAGGAAAATATGAGTACCTGCCTGTTAAGGTCATTGTAAGGATTAAATGAGCTAATTTACTGATATTAAATGCTTGGAATAGTGCCTGGCCTGTAGAAAGCACTGTAATATATGTCAGACATTACTATTTCACTTAATGTATCTTAGAGATTTTCCTTATGAGCACAAATGAAGAACTCATTTATTTATTTACAAATGCTTAATATTTCATTGAAGAACATACCACACTGTGCTTGGCCTTGAAAGATGAATAATATTGGGAAAAATTGGAAACAGTGGTGTTATAGGATAGTCAGGAGGTAGGGAAAAAGTAATAGGTTATCATTACATATCTTTCATTGGCTTAATTTAAAAGGCTGACCATACTGAGTATCAGCAAGGATGTGGAACTATGGGAACTCTCTCACACACTGCTGACAGGAGAGTAAAATAGTGTGATCATGTTGGAAAACAGTTTGGCGATTTGACAATTTCTTATGAAATTAAATACACATCTGCCATATGGTGGAATTAAAATAAAAACATATTTACACACAGACTTGTCCACAAATGTACATAGCTTTATTTGCAATAGCCAAAACCTGGAAACCACCCAGTGTCCATCAATAAGCAAATGAATAAACAAGTTTTGGCAAATTTATACAATAGAATACTACTTACCAATAAGCTACTAATAAATTCTAATTGGATAAATTTCAAAATAATGTTGCAAAGAGCACATACTGTGTGATTTTACTTATATAAAACTCTAGATAATGCAAACTATCATGAACAGAAAGCAGATAATTACATGAGGATGGAAGTAAGGGTGTGGGATGAACTACAAAAGAGCATGAAGAAACTTTTTGGGGGATGATGAATATGTTTATTATCTTGTGATAGTTTCACAGGTATATACATGTGTCAAAACTCATCAAACAATGCATTTTAAATATGTGCAGATTATTATTGTAAAATATACCTGAATAAAACAGGAGAAGAAAAAAATTGTATGTATTTAAAACAAAAAGATTAAAGCACTCATAATGTTCAAATACAGTTGAGTATGCATGCAAAAATAGCATAACAACAAAATAATCTAAAAATCATTTGCATGTAGTTCCTATTTTGTGGTTTTCCTTCCGTGCTTTCAAACTAACTACATTTACAGGAGAGGAAAAATCTTTCTGCCTAGTCTTTTATGTTCTCTGGTGTCCCTGTAACACAGACAGACTAATAAAAGAAAAACATACAGAAGTTTGTTAACATATACATCTCATACAAACATGGGAGAGACTCAGGGAAAGAGAAAGAGTAACCAAGAACTGGCTTAAAACTCCCGCTTATACAGCATTTTCAACAAAAAAACAATCCACCTGCAGGGAAATGACAAAGTAAAGGCAGGTGGCTTTCGGTTTCTGATGCAGCCAACTGTGGGAAGGTAAATATATGTGAGGGAACTAATGAAGTAAGGTTTGTTTGCAGGTTCCTCTGGTGCCGTCTCCGGGCTGGTCAGAGTCTAGAATCATCTCCAGTAAAGGGGAATTTGTGTCCTGCTTTTATGCAGAAAAGATGAAGTATGGGAAGAGCTTTGCCTGTGTTTGCTGTTTCAGCTCAAAATAATTGTATCTCAAAGAGGCATATTTTAGGGTGACGTATTCTGGTTTCCTCCATCTTCATTATTCGGCTGGGGAATTTTTTTCCTTTCAATTGCTTTGTGGAGTCATTTAATGTATACTCACTGAATTAGACAAGTTTTTCCTTAAGTAGGGATGAAAAAGAGCTTGATTGATGTATGTGTGTACATGTAGTGTGTTCTTCAAAGGGGGACGTGTGGAGAGAGGCTAGTAGGGATGTTTCCATTCAGAGTCATTACTCTTTTCCTTACACCAGCTATTCTCAAACTACTATGTTCTGAGGACTCATTTTGCTCTTAAAATGTATGGAATGCCTCAAAAAACATTTGTATATCAATAGCATTTAATGCACTAGAAATTAAAACCTAGAATTAAAAAATATATTTATCAATTAATTTTTAAGTAAGAAATTCATTGCATGTTAATATAGATAACATATTTTTAGAAAAATATATTTTCAACAAAATTTAGTGAGAAGAATGGCATTGTTTTCCATTTTTACCAATCTCTCTAATGGCTGGCTTAAAAGAACACAGCTGGATTCTCCTATCTGTTTCTCAAGTGTTGGAAATTTATTAGTTTTAAGTTATAGTTCATAAGCTTAGTAATTAATGCATGTAAAATGCTATTTTTCCAAGAACTGAAGGTATGAGCCATCCTGATTCCAGGAGACCACAGACAATTCAACCTTTGTGTCTCAGGAGGACTGCAGGTAATCAAGATGGTATCTGAGCCATTGTGCTCCAGGGAGAGAATTCCACAGCCCAGGATGCAGATAAAAAATTGTACGTCAACAGATGAAAGAATGCTAGGAAAAATGCCAGACTTCAGCTTTAATTGTTCCTCAATTCCAAACCCTTATCTACACTTTTCTTCTCCTTATAAAAAAGGTCAGATTGAGATGAGGTGTATAATTGTCTTTTGGGATGCATAGCTGCCATCTTCTCAGACTGCCATCCATCTGAATAAAGCACCCATACAGATTCAATCTTTGTCTCTATTTACTGGTTCTGGTAGTGACAGACAGAAACTGGAAAACACTGACTTTTCGGTTTCACTTCTTCGTTTAATCTGTTGTGACACTAGGTGTCATGTAGCCTCTGGAAAACTCCACTGTACAATCATGAGAATATACAAGTGAAAAACAAATAACATCTTAGTATTGTTATGAAATTGTTTTCAATTCAAGGACTTCAGTGAAAGGGTTTTTATTGGCCCAAAATCTCTTCTCTCGGGGAGACTTTGAGCCCATGTCTTGCTGGACCACACTTATGTCCCGGCATACAGCTGAACAGCTATTCTGTTTTATAAGAGTACCACTGAAAAGCGTCGACAGCTTTTTGAGTTTTATAAAATATTTACCATGTCGAATAGCTGGAGTCTCAGAAATTCTAGCCTGGAAAAAATGGAGATGAGGCCAAAGATTACAAGGAATATTTATGTATCTAATTAACATTTGTCCCCAAAGCCATAAAGAATCCAAGTACATCTATTATTGGATTTTAAAAAATCCTTTCTATGGCCAGAGTCCTCTGAAAATTGGCCAACTAAATAAAACACCTACAGTTGCTTTAGCAATCAAAGGAACAGTCGCCTGACCACATTTTTCTTGAATGACAACAGTTTCCATTACTTTCCTAGACAACAGGTTAGTCATCAAAAGTTCTTTTAGGGCAGAACATGGTCTTCCTGTCATGCCCAAACCAGGGAATTAATTTAATGTAATTGTGCAGTGGAAAGCCACTATTGTGTGTAAATGATCCTGCTCCCGGCCGCAGAATTTGGTAATTGGTGGTGACTATACTTCCAAAAGGGGTCTAACTTCATTTAATGCATAAATTACATAAAGCCTATCTATGGAACAAAAAAGTCAGTAGGTTTGAAGCGAGCATGGGTTCTTGAGGTTAATGGCATACTTTTTTATAAAGGAAAAAAACAACCAGAGCAAAATTCCAGTGGCAAAAATCCCTCCTTTCTCACCCTCCAGAGTTCTTTCAGATCGTCTCTGTTTCCATCCGTCCCTGTGTAACTGCATTCTGCCACTGCAGAGCAGGAGATCTGTAAATAAGGGACGCTGGTCCCAAGGGCGGTGTGCAACCAGTGGTCAGATGTGGATCTGAAATATTCAGCCTGGTGATAAACGAGACTTGACTTGTGTGGTGAACCACGATATGGTGTACAGATTGATGTGTTACACAACTGTGTACCTGAAACCTGTATGAAACAGTGTCACCCCGATACATTTTTGTAAAAAAGAATTCAGCCAGTTGCAGTCAGGGACACTTTTTGCTGTCAAGTAAATTGGTGGTGGTTGTTCCTATTTTGTTTGATTAAGTAACTTTCTCAGGAAAGATATTGGACATTAATAATTAGATGTTTCCCTAGAAAAATATAATGGAATTGATTAAGTGTTTGGTATTGTGTAGTAAAGAACCTGACCTGTGCTAGAAAAAGAGGCCTGGCTTTTGTCCTCAGCTTCCTGGAAGGAGTGTTTTTGTTTGCCTGGGGCATTGGGCCAGCCAGATAGTCGAGTTGTGAAATGGTTCTAGGTTTCCAGTCATATAGTTAGTTGATCTCTTGAGGGGCTGGAACCTGAAATCACTCCCTGGATGAGACCCCACTAAAAACTTTGGACACCAAGGCCTGGTTAAACTTCCTTGGTTGGTTATACTCGATGTATATAGCCACACATCAACCCAGGAAAGTGACAGTGTGATGACTCCATGGGGGAGGAAAACAGAAGCGCAGCATTTCATACTTTCTTAGCCTTTGCCCCATGTACTTCTTTTTCCTTGCCCGATTCTAGTCTGTATCCTTTAGCTCTGTGAAAGCATAACCACAGTGTAATAGCTGTCAGTGAGTTCCGTGAGTTATTCCGGGAAATTGTCAACCCTAACAGTGGTCTTAGGAACCCTGAACTTGAAATTGATGTCAGAAGTGAGGGTAGCCTCTCTCTCTCTCTCTGCCCCCCAAGCTTCCCCTCTTTTGCAGATCTGAAGCTTTATTATCAGAATGAGTCATTTTAGAATAGAATTGGTTCTCTGAAATTGTTTTAATATAGCACAAAGCTCTTGATTCTCAGAATGGTATGGGTACTTACCTGCCAAAATGTATTTTGAGAGCAAAATAAAATTAGGGACACTTCACAGATTTCCACATCACCCTTGCTCAAGGGCCATGCTAATCTCTGTATTGTTCCAGTTTTAGGGTATGTGCTGCTGAAGCGAGCACTGAGGGTAATCTTTATGTCGACTGTTTCTTCTAACTTCTTAGTTGGTTAAACTCTCATAGGTATAAATGCACATCTATCCGTATGTCCTGCAAAAATCCCTACCAACTCAGTTTTACTGCCTGAAATCCATCAATCCTGACCTATCCTAATAAAGTGCAGGCTAAGATATTTCTCTCAGCATTTTGGTCAGGAGAGATCACATCAAAATGAAGATTAAGGGCAGGATGGGGAAAGAGGATATACGACATTCAGAAAGATGTTCATTGAGGTATTTACCATATGAGTGAATAGAGGACTGATTATATAAATTATATTTCCTATAGTGGATATTATTTTAAAACTCAGACAGATAACTCTATGCTAATATAAAAAGATCTTTAAAATAGTTTGTTAAATTATGAGGATGTCAGATAGGACACAAAAATGTCTAACGTGGAGTGGAATTCAGGTATTAATCCCAATGCTAGACTTCCTAGAGGATGTAAAATTTCTGGAATGCCAGGTGCAAGTACAACCCGAGGAAAACCTGGAAGTTGGAATTGACACGACTGGACCCAGAGGAATGCTCTGCTTTCAATATTTCTCCTCCCGCTACCTCAGCAGTATCCTCCCCACATCCATCGGTGCTCGCTCTCCTCCACTGCGGTTGCTGCTCTTGTTCCTCTGTTTCCTCCTCTCTCAGGCTCTCCTTCAAAATGCGCAGGCCTAGGAGGAGATCCGTCCTCTGCTCTCTGACCCACCACCTCTAAGCCTGGCTCACCCTTCACATCCTTCAAAGCCCCTGACTACACCACCACTTGTGTGGAGCTTTCTTGCCTCTGAAGTACTTTTATTGCCTGACCACCAACGCTGTACTCAAACATACGCAGTCATGAATTTTGGTAATATTGGGTAGGTATACACCTTGTTTCTTTAGTTGGAGAGTTATTTCCTTGAGGACAAGAGCCATAAATTGTGTTTCTTTACACCTATCAATTCCTGGTAAAGGAATTGTAGGTAACAGGTGTTGAGTAAATGTGTGGTTGACGACTGATGCAGGCCCCATTCTGCAGAGCTCCAAGAGCAAATGAATGAGAGCAACAGCACATCCAAAGTTCATGTGTAACAAAGGGACTCAGTCTGCGTGTTCTCACTAAGGCTGTGAATAGATGGTAGGCCAGCTCGAGTAAGCACATTCTGCTATTGACCTATAGTTCCTTTTCACAGGGACATTTGTGGTAAAGCCCTGAGCTTAGGACTGAGAAGATAAGAATGCACATTAGTCAGTAGACAGCATCGCAATAAAAGTGAGATGGGAAAAATATGCCTCAGACCAAAGAATGCAATGCTCTTGCTTTAGGAAGTAAAATTTAAATCACTATTTATGGATAATCAATACTTCCCTCTAAACCAACATCAATGCTAGGGTCATCTTCTTGGGTGAGAGGGCTGCAGCCGACCAACGTTTGCAGTTCTCTTCCCCTTCCTGGCTCACCCTTTGAATGTGGGTGGCCTCATGACTCACTTTGGTCAATAAAATGTTAGTGGAAAAGATGCATGTCACTCCCAAGCAGAAATATTTAAGAATCAGTGGGTAACCCTGACTGGTGTGGCTGGGATTCTATCCTTGGTCGGGGTGCAACCAGCCAGTGTTTCTCTCTCACATCAGCGTTTCTCTCCTCTCTTTCTTTCTCTCTCCTGACCTCTCTCTCTAAAAACAATGAAAAAATGTCCTCGATGAGGGTTGAAAATGTTGGTGGCCAGTTCCCCAAGGTGTTGGTGTCTTCCCTTGTAGCAGCAATCATAGGAACACATATTCGGAGATGCAACAGAGATGCAACACATTTGGAGCAGGAAGATGGAGTGTATTCACTCAAACTATACTTATTGGACACCAACCATGTGCAAAGCACTATTAAACACCAGGAATATGCTAGTGCACAAGGCAAAGTCTCTGCTCTTGTGGACAGGCATCTATTTTTGACTTATATAAATCGGTATTTCATTCTGGCTCTGACTTGTATTATAAAGGGAGGTAGAAGGTGTCAAGATGATGGGGGACTCAAATGTTGGAAAAATTTTAGTTTCAGGTAATAGCTAATAAGCTTAGTAATCAACATATGTAAAAAGCTATTGTTTCAGGAACTGAAGGTGTGACCCACTTTGACTCCAGGAGACCATAAGCAGTTCTACCTTTGTGCTCAGGAGAACTGCAGGCAATCAAGATGGTATCTGAGCCATTGTGCTCCAGGGTGAGATGCCCACCACCCAAGGCACAGATAAAGACCACTGCCCAGGGCACAAATGAAAGAATGCTGAATCTTTTATCTGATTAGCTTCCCCCCTGAATTCCAAACCTTTTACCTATACTTTTCTTCTCATTATAAAAAAGGTTTAAAATGGAATTTAAGACAGTCTGTTAGGGTACAAACCTGCCATCTTCTCAGATTGTGGACCATCTGAATAAAATGCCCATAAAGATTCAATCCCTGTCTCTGCTTATTGGATCTGGTAAGTGGCAGGCAACACAAACACTGGCTTTTCCAGTTGCAAAGAGAACCTGTAACACAGACATCCTGAAGTCTGAGATTTGATGGGAAGATTGACTTAAGAACAAGTAGGGGTGGCTATTTAAAGAATGTTCTGGGCTGCAGCTCTGAGGCAGAGAAGGGCAGAGTGCATCTGAAGAAGAAAAGGCCAGTATGTCTGAACAAGAGAATGTGGGGGAACAGTCAGTTTGTCAGGCTCGTGAAAAACGTAGAAACCACATTGTATGGGTCTTGTGGGCTTTGCTGAAGATTTCAATACTTATCCTAAAACTTACTATTAGCAATTAATAGTCAAGTATCACCCTGTCTCGATACTTTTCTTGACCCCAGCAGCCCTTGTGGGGGGGCACCGAGTTCCTCCTGGTTGGGAGAGCCTCTACCAAGTTGGGAGATGAGAACCCTGTCATGAGCCTACCGAGTGGGGTGGCTCCTCCAGTGCCACCACGACCTCCTGCCATCCCAGGGTATCGGGCAGGGCCCTTCAGCAGAGACCAGGGTCTGCTCTGGCTCCACTGGTAGAAGGGATTTATTATAGGTATTGAATCATTTATGGAATTGCTGATGTAAGAAATGTCGAAACCTGCAGAGAGTTTGTGTGAGTTTATTTGAGCCAAACTGATGACAACTGCTGGGAATCAAAGTCTCAATGGACTGATAAAAACACCATGGAGAATGGCAGTTTTGCAGTTTATTTTATACATTAGAATCAAAGGAGGAGGCGGAAGGAGAGTTACATGCAATCCACTGGTGGTAGATTAGGAAGGTGAAATAAAACAAAGCAGGAAAATCTCTGAGTTTGGATAAAAAGTAAAACAGATGGACACTGGTGAGTATAGGATAGTTAACAGTTAACATTTACAGGACACAGACATGGTAATGAGGAATGAGATAGCAATAGGGGTTCCCTAGTCTCCTGCTTTGTTGGGGGATTGTGCCCTGAAGGGTCTGGAAAAATAGGATTCCTCTGACATTCCAATGTTATGTTAACAAAGATGGAAAGACACAATAGACAGACTCAGTTAAGGTACAGATTGACTTTTGTCAAGAAAGATACAGGCCTAGGACATGACCTCCCATCATGACTCGATTTAGTTGAGAAGTGTTAATTTCAGACTATCCTATGCAGTTACTAAAAGTCTCTGAGTTGGTAAAACCTGCTCCGCAGGCCTTCTCTGAGCTTGTTAGGTTCAGTATGTGGTCCCATTTTGGTCCACACAATCATGGAGAAATGGATTCTAAGTTGTATTTCAAGGAAAAACTCAAAGCCACCGCACATAATTAGGCCACCAAGAAAGTGTGCCCTATCGCTGTCACGATGCTGCCAGTTGAAACTGGAAGCAGCTGCCACAGCTGCTGGCTAGAAACCACACACATCAGGAAATTGGGTGTCACATGACCCGCCCCTCCCCCATGTACCTCAGTTGCAAAGTCAAGGCTCGTACAAATGCAAGAAGCTAGTTCACATCCAGAACCCAGCTTCAGGGTGGGCTGGGGAAAGTTTTAAGTTTGTAGTTTCTGCAGTAGGAACAATCCAATGGAAGAGGGTTGGAAGAGAGTTTGGGTGTATAATTCATAGTGTTTGACACACCATGTATCAGAAGAAGTGAGATCCCCACTTTTGAGTCTTCCAGTTCTCACTTCAGCTCTTTAAAACCATATACTTACCTAGTGCCACTCGCTGTCTTTCTATTGTCTTTTCTTCATCAAGAGGAAATTCACTGGCCCCCGCCGGTGTGGCTCCATTGGTTGGGTGTTGTCCTGAACCAAGGGGTGGCTGGTTTGATTCCCCAGATAGGTCAGGGCACCTGCCGGAGTTGTGGGTTCTGTACCTGGTTTGATTCCTGGTTGGGGTGTATGTGGAAGGTAAGTGATGGATGTTTCTCTCCCTCTCTTTCTCCCTTCCTTCCCCTCTCTTTAAAAATCAAAAATAAAATAAAATTTAAAAAATATAAAATCACTGTAAAAGTGTGTATTTCTCCACTTCTTTTGCTTTGGTTAAAGCATGTACCTTTCTGTCCATGTATTCCTTTCTTCTTTTATTTTTTAATCCTCACCCACGTTTGGAAAAAAAAGATGTTGAAAAGTCTTTCCCTTACAAATGACCTGATCTGTTTGCCTTTTCTGTCTTTCTCTTTAAAGCTCATTAGTTTTATTTGAATATGTCTTGGTGTTATCCATCCCAGGTAGATTTTCCTAGGTATGCCATTTAAATATGCAGGTGTAAACCTTATTTTATTTCAGAAATAGTTTCATAAATTAAGAGTTTTATTGCTTTTATTGCTTTTATTGCTTGCTTTGAGTTTCTTCTTTAGGGGATTCCCTTATACAACTGTTGTTTTGTCTTTGCCTATTCATATCTCTTTCTATTCATATCCCCTTCTTTCTAATCCTTTGTACATTGCTGGCAGTTTTTAAATGTCCATAGATTCTCTGATACTCCTTCCTTCAAAGGGTGGAACCTAACTCCCCTTGCCCTGAGTGTGGGCTGGACTCACAGACTCACTTCTAAGGAATGGACTTCGGTGTGACCAGGCCCCAGGCTTCCCCTTGCTCTCACTCGTGAATCACGCGCTCTGGGAAGTCAGCTGCCATTTCCTGAGCATACCTCCAGCAGCCCTAGAAAGAGGCCCACTTGGTGTGCCTTAGGAGGGGAGGGTGAGTGAGGACTGCTTCCTCGCTCCACAGCTTTTCTATTGTTATCATGAAGAGTTTAACATTATTACCTTGTGCTTTTTGAAACTACCTTTTCTGCCTCTTCACTTTCTTTATCTGGATCTTTACTTTCCAGTATTTTCTTTACTCTCTTTATCTTATCTTCACTTTCTCCCGCCTTTCCCCCAGTGTCTCTGAGCTGCTCGGTCTAGCTTCTGCCCCCAGCACAGTCTCTGTGAGGAGCTTTTTCCTGGAAAGGAGATTGTGTTGCTGAGTTCTGAGATTTAATAGGGCCCAGACTCTTCCACACCATCTAATCTTTCTGTTGCCACCCCCCTTAGAATGTCCTTCCAGCTCTGGCATTGTTCCCCCAAAATACTCAGTTAGCTTTCTGTGCTGAGTGGGGACATTTAGATTTCAGGGTGAGTGCCTGTGGCAGTTTGACAGAGTTTGCTGGCATTCGGTGCACTAGAAAACCCTTTGCTGGCTTTGTACTCCCTCCTGTCCACTGGCTGATGCCATGTGGGTCTTGTGGCTGTCAGTAAAGCCGTCCTGTCTTTGTATTTTGGAACTCACAGAGGACCTTATTATTTTTATGGTAGACAACTGCGCACTTGTTGTGGAGGTGGTTGTTGTTGGAGGATTTGGTAGATTCACAACTGCACAATTGCCACTTTAATCTTGCACAGCACCTATCACATCTTAAATTTCTAGACATTCCTTTGTTCTCTGGATTTTCCCTTTCTTACATCTTCTGCTTCATAGTTTATGGACCCTTAACTCTCTAAGTATAATAGTGATTTTAGGAATTCCTTTCTTCTGTCTACATTGTCCTTATTTTCTCTGAGTCACCTTTTCTAAGGTTCTGCATCTCATTTTCATGCCAATGTCTTTTCTCAACTATCTTGAAATTTTTGGCCCTCCAAGCATGTATAGCATTTGGCATTATGTGGGGAGTTTTGTGTATATGTGTAGGACTTGTCAATCAGTCCTACACAGCCAGGTTCATTGAGTTGAGGGACTCTCAATAGTTAATATCTGCAGGTCTTTTCTCTTGGGCTGATCAGTGTCCCCAGAGAGTTGTCCTGCCCTAGACCTCTCCTGGGTGGTAGAGGAGGGTGGTTAGGCTTAGTTGCCATTGTGTTCTTAGAGGAACTGAAGGGAGAATGGGGCGGGGTCTCGTGGTTCAAGATGTAGACTTCACTTAACCTCCCTTTCCAATAAGGTGCACAAAACATGACCAGTGTCTCTGAGCCAGATCCTCTATGTTTCAACCTGTCCTGAAAAGAAACTTTCTACCTTTCACTAGGGTGGGGAAAAGGCATTCTCCTGGTTGTCCTTGCATGAGAAATGGAATTTAATGGCATAACTTACAAATTTTTTGTCATCTTATTTTCAGTTCTACCGTCACTCACCTTCTCTTTCAAAGTTGCCTGGCATGATCATTGACTCCATTGCTGAGCCTTTTGGTATTCTGCAGTTTGAAAAATTTGTTCCCCAACCTTTGCAGGCCCTTTACTGTAAAATCAGTTTAACTCATCTTTATGTTCTAGATTCCAGAATTATGCTGACATCTATCTAGTTCTCTTTATCCTTACAGATTTGTGAAGTATTTTTTAATCCCTTAATCACTGTTTAAATAGGTTCAAAAGGAGAGGACATATTCACTCCTTTTGTCCCTTTGTCACTCCTCTGTTGTCCCTTTAATAGAAGTTCTATCTTCCTTTTAATAAATTCCCTTTCTGCTTAAATTATTTGAGAATGATAGAATTAAGTGAAATGCTAGAAAAAGATCTACAATAATGCATTTTCTGGGACAAGAGTTCTGGATAGGGCTGAACTAAGCCCACCAGACATGTGACTCGAGGTGCTGAATGCCGCCAAAATGCTTTAGAAGTGAGTGACTGAATTAAATTCTTTGTATTACCTAGGATTTTTATTTTTACTTATTAAAATCTACTTAGACATATTTAAGCATGGATTTTTAAAATCACACTTGTGTATAAATTAAAAGGAAAATAAAAGTTGAAATTGATTAAGGTATTCCTAAAACTTCTTTTTATTTAGAGACCTCTAGTCCTCTGAGTCACTTTATATACTTAATAGGTATGTTTTTCCAATTGTGGTTTTAAAAAAGTGTATAGAATTTACCATCTTAACCATTTTTAAATGTTTTTTGTTGAAGATTTTATTTATCCACTTCTAGACAGAGAAGGGAGAGAGCAAGAGAGAAACACCAGTGTGTGGTTGCCTCTCTAGGGCCCCCTACTGGGGAACCTGGCCTGCAACGCAGGCATGTGCCCTGATTGGGAATCCAACTAGTTAGCCTTCAGTTTGAAGTCTCGTGCTCAATCCACTGAGCCACACCAGCCAAGGCCCATCTTAATTATTTTTAAATGTATAATTCCTAACCATTTATAAGCGTACAGTTACATTGTTTTGGAACAGATCTCCAGAATTTTTTCATCTAGCAAAACTGAAACTGCGTACCCATTAAACATCTGCCAATTTCATTTATCCTTCCCCCAACCCAGGTGACCACCACTCTCTGTGTCTATGAATTTGATTACTCTAGATACCTCATGTAAATGGAATCATGCAGTATTTGTGTTTTTGTGACTGGCTTATTTCACTTCGTATAATGTTCTCAAGGCTCGTTCATGTAAGCATGCATCCTGACTTCCTTCCTTTTTGATGAAGTTTTGTGGAGAAAGTAAAATGCATTTCCCTTTCACAAACACTGAAAATATGATTCACTCTGAAACTGGATCAAAAAAATTTTTTTAAAGATTTTATTTATTCATTTCTAGAGAGGGAAGGGAGGGAGAAAGAGAGAGAGAGAGAAACATCAATGTGCAGTTGCTGGGGGTCATGGCCTGCAACCCAGGCATGTGCCCTGACTGGGAATCGAACCTGTGACACTTTGGTTCGCAGCTCGCTCTCAATCCACTGAGCTATGCCAGCCAGGGCTGGATAAAAAATTTTAAGGCCTTTGAAAGTATTCCTTAAAAATATCAAGTATATGTTAAGCCCAAACCTAAAGATGGAAAAGAAGGAAAAGGTATTCTTCGCTTTTGCAAAAACAAATAAATAAAAACTGCTTAAATACAAGAGAAAGAGCATGTGATATATGTTTATTATCCTTGGTGTTTTGTGACAAAGAGCCTTGTCTAGTGATAATATAGTAAACATCAAAAGTAGCTGTTCAATCCACGTAGTGAAGTTAAACTGAAATGCCAGCCCTTGGTTTTTCCAAAGGGCTCCTGAGTGAATTCTTCTGATCCTAGGAGAAAAGACAAAACCCCAGTTTTTAGCTTCTGTGGTCTGACGGTTATGTTGTGATCAGCAAATTTCCCTGAAGTCATTTTTCAGGGCTTTCCTTTACTAAGTTAAACCCAGAGTGCAGACGAAGGGAAAAGAAAAGACAGTCTTAAAGTTTGAATTAGCATGGGAAGCCTGAGTACTTGTTGAAGCTTGTAGATAATGAGGAAACTCCCAAACATATTTGGAAAAAACTTTTTTTTAACTAACTATGAGCTTGGCAACCTCTTCTACTGAATAGCAAGAAATTTGCTGGTGCTTTCCCCCTTGGCTCTCATGTCTGCCTTCCTCATACTTGCTCCTTGTCTGATTCCCTGTTAGCCTCTCTTGTGTTTCTCTCCATCCTACCTTTCTGGTTTGCCCACCATGCTTTCGTGTCCTGCTCTGTTCCCTTGAGTCCAGTGCAGTTTCTTGCTTTCCTTGGCTGCCTAGCCCTTCCCACTCTGCCCTAAAGTAGACTCTTCTGCACAGAGAACCCGGTGGGGCCTCCCAACCGGGTGGGGTTTCACTTGGGTAAACTACCACATCCTGGAGCGCCATCCAGTAGTGTTTTCTTAAGACTTGGCAGCTGGAGTCATTGCTTTAAGAGGGGAAAAGTGAAACATTTACTTGGATGGTTCTCCAGAGAATGGCTCTGCATAGATCTCCAGAAGGTGAAATTGAGTGAGTATGACCACAGAGGTAAGTCTTGGATTGGTGGGGTGATGGTGGAACCGCAGTGGGCAGCCAGGGTGGCAGGGTGTGGTTGGATTCATAAGCTAAAGGTCTTTCTCAACCAACCCACTGAGACTGTGGCCGGCTGTGGGGCTATGACCTGGGGAAACTGTCCAGCTCTGGTGCTGTGTCTTCCTGAGTAAACCTGGGCTGAGTGGTCCCTGATCTAATTTGGAAAGAAAATTTTAAAAAGAAGGGGATGCCCACTTGTGACTTCTAAAATAGTACTCTAGGTGTATGGAGCATCCCCTCCCCCAGGCGTGCAGGTGGGTTCTGCAAGGTCATTTTTAGGAACTCCCGTGTAAAATGTTTCTCGAACCATTCTGGAACATAATATAACAGAAAAACCTGTTTTTTAGGAAGGAAGTCATGAAAATTGTAATTTGAAGGATATAATAATATTGGGCCTTGGCCCAAGAATGGCATCTAAATTCTATTAACAGAATCTGAAATTCCATTTACAGTCTTCTCCCTTTAGTTTAAGTCTTCAACTTCCCTTGGATGTAAGCAAATCCCAGGAGGGAAAACAGAGTGACCCTCAGTAATCTTTAGCTTTAAATCACACCAGATTGCTTTCCTCCACCCTCCCCATACATCTATCTTGCCACCTGCAAACCAGAATTCTCTCTTTCCCCAGCGTAATGGTGGGCACTCAGGTGAGGACGTGAGGTGTGTCTCGTTCTTCACTGAATCTCTCGCATCTTAAATAATATCTGGCCCATAGTAGGTTCTGTGGAGGGGATGAATGAATTCTTTACTGTCAATGTGTTTTAGAGGGCTGGAGTAGAGAAAGTAAAAAGGCCAAGAGAAAAAGAAGCGGCGGCGTGGAGAGAGAAGAGGGTGGGGTCACTGAAGGCAAAGTCCTCTGGGAGGCAGTTTTGTGAGAGTCTAGACAGTTTAGTCTTATGTTAAATTGTCTTTTTTTTGTATTTTTTCCATTACCATTTAGTCCCCTTATTATATCGTCTTTTACTAACTTTCTTAGAAGGTAATTGACTGCCGAAATGTAAAATCCATCGACACATTTGACGTACTTGCCAAAGTGGTATGTAATAACCTGTATTTCACACAATGAAATAGGGCAAAGTTAAAAATTCAAATTTCCTTTGGATTTATATCTGCTACCACCTGCTGGTTCCCGGATCCTGGGTTACATCATTCTTATTTTTACGTTAAACATTACCAGCAATAAAAGCAGAAGGAAAAGGTGGCAATGAAAACTTGTGTAGGAAAGTTCTGATCTCACTCAGGCTTGACAGTCTTGTTTTCTTCTCAGAAATTCTAGAAAACAGAAGAAAACAAGATGTCTTATTGAGAAAGACCTCCTTCAACTTGACCATGAGTCAAACAAGGAAGAAAAGTTCCTCAGACGGAGAAACTAAACCCCGGACTTCATTTGTCAACAGATTCCTCAGGGGCTCAAAACTCAGGTCCTCCAAAGCTGAAAGCAGAAAAGAGAGCAATGACCTTAAAACAAGTGACTTCCAACCCAGTGATGAGAAACAGACACCTGCCCCCTTAGACGCCGGTAAACTTCTGACTGCTGTTACTTCTTTATTTTCTAGAATAATGTTTTCCCCTGAAGAGATCATTGGGTTAAACTAAACCTAGTATGAGTCTCTGTCTAAACATTTATTATGTTTCTTAAATATTTAAATGGTTTGTTAATTTTACTTTTAAATTGTCAACAGTACTTTAATAATACAGAAAGGTGTAGAGAAAATACTTAATTTCTTTTTTGTCATAACACAAATGATCATTTCTTCAAGATTCTTTTTGATCTTTTGTTCATGTGCATGCATTTGTGGTCAGTTAGCTGATCAACAACCATTTATTGAGTTCCTACTATGTGCCTGCTGCTGTATTTTTAAGTGTTCAAAATACAGCCATGAGAAACAGGACCTTGTGTAAACAAAGAACCAAATGCAGGTACAATTTCCGTGTTGATAAGCGATGTGAAGAAAAGTAAACAGGCTAAGTGGAGAATGTTGGGATGGATAGAGTTGCTACTTTAGACAGAGTTGGAGGAAAGCGTCCTCTACGTGGTAGCACTGGTTCAGAGATCTGAATAAAGCCAGCTATGTAGGAGGAGTGAGTAGAGCCAGCCACCCAGATGTTTGTGGGAATAGCTTTCCAGGAAAAGGGAACTGTAAATGCAAAGGCCCAAGGTGGGACTGCACCCTGGGTGTTGGAGAGGCAGCCAGGGAGTCTGAGAAGCAGGATGAGAGACAGGAGAGGGGCAACAATAGCGACAAGTCAGCGAGGTGGGCCCGCAGGGGCCAGAATGGACGTCTTTGGCAGTTATGAAAGCCCACAAATCCCTCTTGAGTTGAATGAAACGGTGACCCCACTTCTGGAGCATACACTACTCAATGTTGATTCGCTTCATGATGTTCCTGTGTATAAATTTAATAGCTGCATAATATCGCATTATATGCATCTCCATAATTACTTAATAAATTCTTGTTTTTGCCCTTCAGTGATTATCTTTGGCTTTCCCTCTCCCTTAGTCCCTATTTCATGGAATTTCAGCTTTCTTTTAAAGTATAAATTCCCAGAACAGAAATGACAAATTTGAGGGTTATGAAAATAAATATTGTCAAATCTTTCTCCAAAGATGCCATCATATTGCCAAACAATATGATGGCATACACAATGCCATCGATTTATTATTAATTGGATTAAATATATTAAAAACATTTGAGACTTTTTATGCAAACATACACAAAGGTATAGAGAATAGTATTAGTCCCCATGATCATCTCTCTCTAACAATTATCAGCCTGTGGCCAATGTTGTTCTGTTTATTCCTACCCTCACTTCCTATTTGTATTACACACCTAAAATAACATCATGTTACCTGTAAGTAGGTTAGATGTATCTTAAATATATTTTTGTCAATAGGAAGTTAAAGTCTACTTCTAGAGGAAGACAATGTCTGTTAGAAAATTGTTGGTGTTTGTTTTAAAGTGTGGTTTGGAGCCTCAGGAACATGGTTAATGAATACCTGAAGCTAGGTATTCATTAAATCACCAGTGCAGCACCCGGCAGCTGGCTGTCCCTGCTGGTGAACACTGGCCGCTTCAGCCAGCCACAGCTTCTGGATTTCCATGTCTCTCAAAATTCTGTGGCTCCTGGAGTCATGTCAAGTCTGCCTCCCAAATGGCCCGCGGACCCCGGATCATCCTCTCCCTTGCTATTCTGGTGCCCTTCTCTTGCCTGGACCACGGTGACAGCTTCCTGGTTCTTCTGTTTCTAGTCTTGCTGTCTTGCCAACTTGTCCCCTGCACTGCCGCCGAGTGCTTTTTCTAAACACAGATATGCTGGTGTCTCTCACCTGCTTACCCACTTGCCTTGAAGAGAAAGTCTGCACTCCCAAGCATGGCCTTCAAGGTGTTTGGGATCAGTTACCAATCTCTCCATGACCTCTGCCTTGCTCCAGCCTCACATTCATCCGCTACTCCTGACAGTCGGATTCACCTGCAGTTTCCTGAACTGGCCATGTTTCCCCCAACTGGGATGTCAGAAAGACCTTCCCTTGTGACACCATTCTCCCTCTGCACCCCTCCCTTGCTCACCCCTCCCTCACATCCACCCACTGGGCTGACTCCTGTTGGTCCTCTCAGGAGCAAATCATGCACCACTTTCTCTTGGAAGCTTGCCAAGACCCACCCACCAGACTAGAGGTACTTATGGTCACTGCTGTGTGCCCTGCACCCTACGCATGCCTCCATCATTGCACTTCTCTGTATCGTAACTGTGGCTTTCTTGTCTGTCCCTCCATTAGACAGGTAGCTCCTTGAAAACAGGAATGCACGATCTTGTTGCAAACAGGTAATGTTCTGTGAAAACACTGGGATTTTTTTATTGTAAACAACAGAGGCCAATACAGATTTAAGTTGGAAAATAACTTAATAAAAGCCACCGAGATTCCTTGGGCTCCTTCCTAAGTGAAGGGTCAGGGTAGTGGTCAGTGTCAAGCACCCGGAGGCAGGAACAGAGGTGTGGTCCTGGTAAATGCTTCAGGGTTCACAGGGGACCCACTCAGGGCTGTTGTCAGTCTTTTCACTTTTTTTGTGTGTGATTATTATGCATCCTCAATGCTGTCTGTCATTAACAGCAAATTCTTCTTTATACTTACAATGCAGCCAAGGCTCTGTCTTCAGAAATGGAACTGGGATGCAAGACGCAGAAAAATGGGCAGTTCTTGCAGAAGCTGGGCAAGCAGGCTGTCGACAAGGGCCTAGATCTGAACAACTGCAGATTGACGACAGCGGACGTGAGGGAGATGGGTCTGTATGCAGCTGGCTTTGCACAGAGAGGGACTCAGGGCCCATAGCTGGAAACAAGAAGGCAAAGCAGAGTCATTCCTCACTTGGTACCCAAGGTTGGCAGGGTGGCCCCAGGCTACTCAGAAACGGCAGCTGTACCACTAAATTTTTTAAAACACAAGTTAATTTATCCTTCTTTAAGCTTCAAAGATTTGAGCTGAGGTAGTTCATTTGTTTGTTTCTTCTGAGCATTTTTATTTCCCTACTGGTTGCCTCTGGCTCCCTGAGAAACATCTGTTCCTGCATTTGATGTAAACTCATGACACTCAGCTGTAAAACAGAAACTTCCTGGGAATTTGAAGTGGTGCTGTGTTGTTTAGTTATCTGTGGAATGAAAAGTAAAACTACCAGAAATTACTGCTTGTACTTGTGTATACAAAACTATCACTACCCTTTGTTACACCGAAGGAGGAATTTAACTGTGAGAACCCCATGTCCACACCACCATTGCCACTTTACCCCCTTCCTTTTTCTCAGAAACTTGAAATCAATCCTTTAATCAAATTAGATGTGTCTACCAACAAAGATGTAGCAAAAGAACTGCATTTTGAATGAGGAGTCCTTGACTATTTTAATTAAAATATGTGCCATTATACTTTGGACAATTCTCCAAGAGGGAACTCTAAGCATGCCTGGGGTTCCCAAGTGCCTGTGTGTCAGAATCATTCGTGAAGCGTGTAGAAATGCAGGGACTTGCGTGCAACCCAAACCCACCAAATTGGAATCTCTGAGAGTGGGCCCCACAAGCCCTGTTTTTTTTTTTCCTTTCTTAATATGTACAATAGACTTAATGCTTTCTAAAGCTAGAATCACAGTGAATAAGATGAAATTGCTACTGTGCTGTGAACACAAATGGAAAAAACAAAGCAAAATGATTTTTCGCTCCTGAGCGTGGCCTCAGCATTTTGGAAGGTCTGTGAGGGTAGGAGCTTAGCATGTTGCTTCTGACTGCTGCCTCCTTTTTAACGTGCAAGGCTGATGTTTAAAGGCAAACAGGCTTTAGTGCCACTCAACACTCTTGTTGCTTCCGAGATAAGGATAGCCTTGGAGCACCTTTTCCACAGAGAGTGACTTCACTTCTAATGAGCAGTGGCAGGGAAGGTTCCAGTCTGGCTTTGTGCCAGTCTAAATCCCCATATGTTAGTCCATTTCAGTATAACAGCAGCTTTTGAAGGTGGCGATGCCCAGGTAGTCAAGACAAAAAAGAAAAGGTAATGGGCTCCTGCAACCTCAGCAGTCCTGGCCCAGAGAGCAGTCTAGGCCATCAGCCTGGGGATCCAATGGGTGACGGGGTGGTGGATGTGAGAGGGACCCTCAAAATTAAAGGACTAGTATGCGCCTTAGAGCAACAGTGGTGGTAACAGTGGAACCACCATTTGCTCAACTGTAGAGAAGATTCTGTGAAATCTTAGAGAGATACCACTGCATTTTCAGGGTATTGTTATTTGGCAAAAATAGAAAATGTTCCAAGAAATAGGAAATGTAGATGTTACAATCTCTCCAACTGCACGGGTGAGAGATCGGCGTGCTCTCGTCCCCTTTATTCTCTAACAGTGCAGAACTCCATTCTGTGCCTATGGGCAGTGGATCTGTTCACTGCACATCACGCCTTTCATGCGCTGATCTGTGTTTTCTTTTGTTCACATCTAGTTGCTTTACTGCCTTTTCTCCCGGACTTGGAAAAACTGGATATTTCCTGGAATGATTTAGTTGGAGGAACCCTCCCTTTCATCACTGAACAAATGCATCTTGTCAACAAGTTAAAAAGCCTGAGGCTGGGCAGTTGCAGACTCACCACTGACGATGTTCGAGCACTGGGTATGATGAGTGCTTCCTGCAAAGGACTTCACTCAAAGCACCTTTGCAGTGTCACCCTCAAGGGCAAACTATCTGGGTTGCCACTCTCTCAGCGCTGGAGGAGTGTGCTGTGTTTGAGACAATGTGGTGTGGAGCGATAGCGTAACTTCTAAAGAGCTATGTAACCTGTACCTGGCACTGGGCTCATTCCCAGGAGAGAGAAGGGAGCAAGGCTGACCAGGTACCTGCCCTTGCGGAGTCTGAGTGGAGACACCTGTCAAACTTGCTCTCTGGTCTGTTTCCTCATCTGTGAACTAGAGGAGGTGGAGTAGCTAACAATTAAATTTTCTTCCAATCCCAAAATAATCTCTTCTGTTTTTCCACCTTCATTTTTTAAAAAGTGATCAAAACAAGATTCTTTAACTAAAAGAAATGGTTTGAATAGCAGTATAACCTCAGTTAAGTTAGTTTATGTGCTGAACATAGAGTAACAGAACATAGGGTGAAATTTGCTGCTGACCCAAAGACTTGCTAAAAGGCTTGCTGGTTTTAGATGACATTAATATTTTTAAGCTTTCTTTTGATCTGAAGTTTCTTATTGCAGTGATGTATTTTGATCATTTACATCTCTGCAAAGATTTCTGTAAAAATGACACAATTCATGCCAATGTCTTCTCTCCAATCCCTCCCTACAAAATGGGAGCCCTCTGATGCCCCCTGGACCACCCTTCCTACAGCTGAGGAGAAACATCATACATCTCAGGGCTGGCCAGGTCCTAGTTCAAATCCTGATCCTGCTTCTAACTAGCCTTGTCACCATGGTCAAACTGTTTAATCTTTCTGAGCCTCAGTTTTCTTACCTCTGAAAATGTGTGATACCCACTTCAAAAAATTATTGTGAAGATTAAATAAGTAAATAATTTCTGTAGAGCGCCTGCTACATTCTGGGCACACAATAGGTGCTCAGTAACCGGTAGATCCTCCTTTCCCTAGTCCTTCATCGAAAATTTCCTTTCTGTGGTTTCACATGAGGAGTTTAGTTCTGCTGGTTAGCAGCTGGTTATGATGTAGCAGAATCTCGAATTTAACACGTTGTTCCTTGGGCATGGAAATAAAATGTAGTTTCCTCATTTTCTTTGATTTATCTCATCTTTTCATGATCTTCCTTCCATTTCTTTGAGAATCCAGGAAACAGAATTTCTGCCTGGGGACCCACTCCAAACTTACTTGTCCAGGAGAGAGTGTGCATCTTTGTCACTCTGATGTCTGGTGCCCTTCCCCCTGTCCCAGACTGTGTCCTCCTCCATCAGAAGGGGCTTTCCTTCACCTTAATGGCAGATGGGGTATGGGGATAGTAAACATGCTACTGGCCAGATAACATAAACCAGGAAGCATTTCCCCATCATTGCACCCGTTACAATTGCTTAGTGCAGGGTGTCTAGTGCATAACGGCCTGGTGCCAAGAGCACTGCAGACAATCTCGTCACTCTTTCTCCCTGATCCTGATGCTTCAGGGCTGTAGAAAGCCACCCCAGTTGACTGCCGATGTCACATAAAATGACACCTATGTGGGAAGAACTTGTATTTTAACATGGGGTTCCTGGACTCCTAAAGCCTTAATCCATAGAATGAATAACCAAAGGTAGAAGTCCAAGCCCAGCAGCGAGCTGTGGAAGAAAGGCTTCTCGACACAGGTCACTCTCCACCACTCTGAATTGTTTAAGATTCAGGTTGACTCTGCACGTTGACAAGTACATTTTCCATGCGGAGCTCTCCAGCCGTTCTCCCCACGACGGTGGAAATCATTCCTAATGATCCTTCCCGTCACTTCCCCTGATCTCTCCCGGGCTCCCCTGTGTAGCCTGTGGGTGCTTTCTTGTGTGAAATGGTCTCAGAAATGTCATTTCATCTGTTTCTCACTTCCCCCTTCTCTACACCTAAAGGCTGTGTGGTTGTTATGAGTTGTTAGTGCCTGCTGCTCTAATATTAGTTCTTCTCTGCAGTGGTTGGTTCAGTTGTATGTGACATTCTTGATGTCAAGTGAGTTTTACCCCCCTGGGGGCCAGTGCCTGGCTTTGTCTCATATCTACCTCCGGCCAAGCTTCTCAGCAATGCTCCTCCCAGGGAGGGTGCAGGAGAGAAAGCAATGGACCAGTACAAATGTTTACTACCATGAAAACAACTGAGTAAGAAATCCTCACTGACAGGAGGATTTTTTAAAAACAATTTTTTGCTTGTAAGCATGGCTTTGGAACTTTGGAAGGAGTAGTGTACTCTGCCTGTAAATGCAGATGCTCCCCTTGCTGGGAGTGGGCCGGGACTGGGGCCTTTTCTTCTCTTTGGTCCTTGGCACCTAACCTGTACTTTGCCTGCTTTGATACTCCATAGATAACGTTTGGGTTGACTTTGAAATGCATTATCTGCTTTGCGAACTAGTGATCAATCTTTGGGCCACTTTGTAACAGGAGAAGCACTTAAAGCGGTACCTGACCTAGAGGAGCTGAACTTGTCCTGGAACAGTAAAGTGGGAGGAAACGTGCCTCGGATCCTGCAGGAGTTCCAAGCAGGGAGCAAGATACAGATGCTGGAGCTTGTGGATTGTGCCCTCACCTCAGAAGATGGGACTTTTATGGGTAAGTGGGATTTGGAAGAGTCATTTTGGGGGGAAAAAGGTGAAGATGCCCAGGACTGGATAACCTGGGAGTCAAAGCTGGCTGTGTTCTCCCTCACAGTGAACTGAAAGAGTGGTTCGCTCTATCCCGGAGGCCCACGGGGCTTCAGTCCCCTCCTGCCTACCCCACCTCCCACACCTACATTTTCACTGGGTTGCTCTTTTGTTCAAATCTCCTTCCTTCCAGGTCAGTTGCTCCCTGTGCTGCAAAGTCTTGAAGTACTTGATCTTTCCATGAACAGAAACATTGGTGGCAGTCTAAACAGTATTGCTCAGGGGTTAAAAAGTACCTCAAGTCTGAAAGTATTAAAGTTACAGTCCTGTGGATTATCACAAAAGAGTGTCACGCTATTGGGTATGTTAGCAATGGCTGCAGTTTATATACTATATGATTTTATTTTATGTGTTTATGTGTACATATCATTTTATTTTATGTATTTTTATATTTTTATAACTTTTATATACAATATACACAGTGGTTATGTTGAGGAATAAGATTATGGGTAATTTAAATCTGCTTTGTGTGTTTTTCTTTTAGAGTAAGCATATACTTTCAGGACTACAAAAATAAACTTTTAAAATGGCTGAATCTGAAAAAGCCAGGATATTTTAGGTTTAAGATAGATACTGGGCAAAAGCTTCTATGCTATTAAAGCACTTGCTTTTTCTCTTACTTTTAAAAATGTCAGCATTATTTTATGTTCAGTAGTAAGTAGGAATTGGTACTGATAGAAAGAATGGATTCCGTGGTATCCAGAGATAAAACTTATTTCTCAGCTTAGAGCATTTTCCCTTAGTTAAGGGGAAATATAAAGTGAAATTGAGTTTTCCCTTTGATTACAGAGCATATGCTATCCTTCTCACTGATAGTTTAAGTCTAGAATTCCATGGAAACGCCAAAGCTCAAGTGGACTAGGAGAACCATTGCATGTTTGGAGTCACTGTCAAATCCAAAGGGGGCAGGATGGTAGGGAGTCTGCAGCCTACAGTTATTCCTCTGTCCTGGAGTTTTTCTGATCTATTTCCTCAGTCTCCCTTTTGCATACATGTCCCCTCCCCTGCTCCATGCCTGCTTACCACCTTGTAATGTGTCGGAATGGGATTTTGACTTTCTTTGTAGATGCTGCTTTTGGATACTTGGGTGGGCTGAGGAAACTTGACCTTTCCTGCAACAAGGAGCTGGGTGGAGGTTTTGAAGACTCACCAGCTCAGCTGGCCACGCTGGAGCATCTGGAAGTCCTGGATCTTCACCAGTGCTCGCTAACAGCTGGTGATGTGGTGTCGCTGAGTAAGTATGTGCCACAGAGCCAAGGAAGGACTTTGGAGCTTTGACATATGTTTGGGAACTTGGCAAATTTGAGATATACTTTTAAGCTTACTATTTATAAAGTTACTGGGAGGCTCAAATCATACAAGTGCTGTGAATGCCCCAATATACTATTTGGCATGTATTAAATGCCCAGTAAATGTTAGCGACTCTGAAGTCCTCCTATATGCGTCTGTAGATGATAGACATGGCACTTGAAGGGGAACATTTTGGACTTATGTTGCTGTTTAGAAACAAATCTGTTAGTGTCACCAAGGTTATTACAGAGAGGGGTGTAGAGAGAAGGCCAAAACAAAGGGTGTTGAGGCTTGCAGACTAACAAGTAAGTTAAGTCACTTAGACACAAATGAACTTACAGAAAACATCAGCTGGCTAGTGCCTAACAGGTGTCCATCACAACTTCAGGTAATACACTTATTTTCTACCCCAGACTTAGCCCTGTTATTACTACAACATGCAATATAGAATTATAGCTTCCATAACACACAGCAAGCATAGCCTTGCGATTAAGGGTTTTATTCCATCTGTAACCACAACAAACCTTCAAAATACATCCCAAATCTGATCTCAGCTCACCATCTAGCCCTCTACTACCCTGGTTAAAGCCACGGTCATCTCCTGCCTAGATTATTGCAAGGGTCCAAATGGTCGCCCGCTTCCTCCACCACTCGGACTTCCTTCTCTACCCTTTCCCCTCAGTGGCGCTACTCCAGCCACACCTTCCATGCTGGTCCTCATGCACACTGGCCAGGCTCTGTCCCCGGGGCCTTTGCCCTTGAGCTCTCTTCAGATCACGGGCTCCTCCTGGGTAGGGGTGCGTCACCTTCAGTATCTCCCCTTTGCCCAAACACAGCTGCTGGCACATAGTTGGCACCCAGTAAATGTTAGTTGAACATGTGATTGAATAAATGAGTGACTCAATGAACAAAAATAAAAAGAATTTTTTCAGTTGTGTTTAGTACAATTTGGGGAGGAAAGCAGTAAAATAGGATTTTAGATCTAACATCTATCTTTTAGACCTTAGTTATTTCTTAGGCTCTTATCCCTCAAGTTTGGAAAATGAGAGTTCAAGGCTTGAAGAGTTTAAAGTAACAAAACAACCCCTTTTTGAGCTCCAGGTAGAGCTTTATGAGGTATAACCATCCCCTCTGCTTACGAGCATCATACCTGGGACAGACACTCCCAAGTTACCAGTCCATCAAATTCCAAGTAATACATTTCCCTGGGTACACCTGAACAGCATGAGTATCACATCTCATGTTGTTGCTTAGGGGAAGATTAAACTGCTAGAGGACCCCAGCTGTTACCACGAATGTAACAGAGGGGTTTGCCTCTCTCATCTAGATGCACAGCCACCAACATGGGTGAATGGCCTTGGAAAGCTGATTATTTAAAAGCTGTAGTGAATTGCATTGTTTTCCTTCTGGCTAATTTTGAGAAAATGGAAATAAAATTCATTTATTGATGTATTATGTACTAAATACATAAGTCTTTATGATGTTAAATAATTGAGAGAGAGAAAGACAAAAACATCAATTTGTTGTTCCACTTATTTACACATTCACTCATTAGTTGATTCTTGTGTCTTGTGCTCTGACTAGGGATCAAACCTACAACCTTGGTGTGTGGGGACAATTCTCGAACCAACTGAGCTACCTGGCTAGGGCTGTGTTCTTTTTTATAAATTAATCATTCATTTATCTGATCATTCTAGACAGCTCCAAAGAAATAGACTTGTAGATCATTTAGCCAACAACTGTGTTGTGGGCTTAGGAAAATTCATGGTCTAGGAAATTCCATCTGGTAGGGGCAGTGATAAACCAATGAATATCCAAATTACACAGCGAACCACCAAGTGCTATGGAGGTTCAAGGGGGAGGGTAGTTATTACATCTGCTGGGATCACAGGTGCTTGCCTTCCCTTCATCTTTCTACTGCCCTCCTTCCTCGTTATATAATTTAGAATTCTGTATTTATTTGTTGGGTTTGTGCCTCTGGTGCCCCAGCTTCTGATGCACACTCTGGGGATGGAGCAGCTCCTACACACAGAACTCACCTTCAGTAAGGGAAGACAGAACACACACACACACACTCCATAAAGGGGGTGCTGTGAGGGAAGTGAATTAGGGTGATGTGACGGTGACCAAGAGGTCAATGTGACCAAGGCGTAGGTGGTCTGGAAGGCTCTGAGGTGAGACAGTTCCACAGAGATCCTGGATGCCACATTTTCACATCTCCAGGGCCCTCGGGGCCCAATTCTGTGCTGTTACCAACAGACATCTGTTCAGACTGCTTGATATCATTGCCTTCCTAGTACTCATACTCTGAGAGAAGAATGATAATGATGACCATTAATCAAGCAGCTGATGTGTGCCAGGCACTCTGCTGAGCATTTTAGATGTACCAAGTTGTTTAATCTTCCCAATGACCCTGTGAAGTAGAATTGCTATATTGTTATTGCGAAAACTGAAGTTTGGACATGTTAAGTAAATTGTCCAAAATCACACACGTCTTCGGTAGCAGAGCCAGGATTAGAGCTGGTTCTCTGTCTCCAGAGTCTCCAGACAGAGCTCTAGACGTGGAAGAGCCAGGCTGCATGCTGGGAAGGGCAGTGCAAGGGTGGTGTGTAGGGGAGGGCAGGGCTTGCCCGTCAAGGAGACTGTGGGAACCAAACACCCAGGGACTCTGTGAGACGGTGCCTAAAACATGTCCCTGCTGCCATTTGAACAGCCCAGGTTATTCCTTTACTCTCGCATCTTCAAGAACTGGACTTATCTGCCAACAAAAAGATGGGCAGCTCTTCTGAAAACTTACTCAGCAGGCTCCGATTTTTACCAGCACTGAAGTCATTACTAATCAGCAACTGTGCTTTGGAAAGGGAGACTTTCACCGCCCTCGGTAAGAAAATTCCCCAGGAATCGTGGTATAGTTAACACCTGAGGTGGGGTGGGGGGAGGGTGGCTGTCTTTCCCTACAGGTAAACTTCATTATTTCAAGACTCAGCCATAGGCAAAGGTGTAAAGTACTATTTTGTCTTCTTTTCAGAAAATATGCTTTCTTAAAGGTGACATCCTGAAGGTCACGTGAATAACTTTGGCATTCATGCATATAACATGTAAAATTTGAAGTGTATATAACCAACTCTGGAGGTCCATGCCCGCAGTAACTTGTAATTTCAGTGAGGCACCAGTTTAAATTGGGATTGTTGTCTGATGGGAAAAGGGAGGCAATTAGCAGCCTGTGGGCCTAGCTGACTGTCTAGTACCCACTTCCCAACAGGATTCACTGTGCTCTCTCAGGACCCTGGGCAGGCCTGAAGGTCATGGACACAGCCCAGCCTCCATCAAGGGTCTAATAAATATGACATTTCTGCCCTTTCGAGGGCAAGAATGTTGCCAGCAAGTAGAGGGAGACATTTTGAGGCAAAGGGATTTTGCAGTGTTCTCCCAACCACACCACTCATTCAGCCAGCAATTTGGGCACGTGGTGCCTGGTGGGAGTCCCCAGTAGCTCGCTCAGAGATTTCACAGGCCTCAGCACATAGTTGTATACATGTTGTGATTTATTGCAATGAAAGGATATGAAGCAAAATCAGCAAAGGGAAAGGAGCATGGGGAGAGGTCTGGGGAAGCCAAGCACAAGCTTCCAAAAGTCTGCTGCCAGCGAATCACACAGGGCACACTCCTTTCCTCCCACGTTATGATGACACATGTGAACTGTCTCCCAGGAAGGCTCTCCTGCCTCAAGTCCAGGGTTTGAGTGGGGGTTGGCCAGCCAGGCATCCTCTACCCAACACACACCGAAATTCCAGACTCACAGGAGGAGAGCTGGCACCCTGCATAAATCGTATTATTTGTTCACAAACACTTTAGGCACCACGAGCCACCCTTATCAGTCAGGGAATGGTGGGAACACTTCCAAATTCAGCTGCCAGATGCCAGCCGAGGGCCAGGCTTGCGAGCAGGCCTTCCTAGGGAGAGAAGCCTCAGGCCTGGTCAGTCCACTCTTTCCTGCACACACGCACGAGACTAGAGGTTGTCTTCTGGCGCTTTCAGGAACAGGAGGAAAAATAAAGTCCTCCTCTCTGAACTTCCAACGGTTATGTCAGTTGGCACTTCCTTAAATATGAATTGTACTATGGACCAGACAAAGGCTATTATAAATGAAATAAATGTGTTCTATTAATAAGTAGCTATTTATTAATATCTGTTACTAGAAATAAATACATATTTATAATTCATCCCAAATTCTAACAACTCTGTGTTTAGGTTACTCTTGCCCCCACTTCTGGCCCAAGAATTTCGTTCAGCTCCCATAGACTTGGTCCTTGCCATGTACTGCTCCAAGCATTGCTCATAGCATTGCCCCTGCATCCAGATGAGGAGAAGTAGCATGTATGTGCCTTTCAGGTCTGGAGCTCCCACCCCGGTCAGATGGTCAGTCTATCATTATGCTTGGGGTAGGGGTCTGTGTGAATTCCCTAAAATTGATTGCAATTATTTTGTGGGAGGCATAGGGTGTATTTTCTGGCCCCTGGAATCAGACTGTCTAAAATCAAATCCTGGCTCTGGCTCTTGTGACCCGAGGTACTGAACATCTCTGAGCTTTGGTTTCTTTGTCTGTAAAATGCAAAATAAAATAACAGTATCCTATCTTGTAGGATTGTAAGAATTAAATGGGTTAATACAAGTAAAGTTCATAGAAAGGCACCTGGCACATAGTAAATGCTCAATAAATGTTCATTGTTAATATTACTAGGGAGAGAGAGTCTATAAATTCTATTTAAAAAATAAATTGAATCTTATCACTACCAGGTAAAAAAAAATGGATCTTATCATTGCCCAATACTGTCTATAACACCTCTAGTAAAATCCAGATTCCTTCGTGTGGTCTAAGAGGCCCAAATGACCTGGCCCCAGTACCTCTCTGCCATTCTCCCTCTTATTCCCCAAACCTGGCCGCAGCTGGCTTCTTTAGGTTCCTTCACGTCACTGGGCTCTCTCCTGCCTCCAGGCCTTCCTGTTCCCTGGAACTCTCTACCCGCATTCTTCCCTGGGGAGCTCGGACTTCATGTTTCATAAACATCCCCTTCTAAGACAGCCCCTCCCTAGCTACATTAGAAGCCCCTGTGTCTTCTTTATAGCCTTTATCAGAATTAATCAGTATGTATTTATCTGTTTATTTTTTAATGTCCATACTTCTCTCAGATTATACCTTGAGGGCAAGGATTGAGTTTATTCTTTGCTGCATACCCACAGCATGTTTTAGATATTTTTACATATTGAGTGAGCAGATAGACAGATTAACATCTCAAAGGGGTCAAATGGTTAGGCAAGCATGTATACACACACACAGACCACATTCCAGTGCTCAGAGTAATGTTCAGTTAGAAAAGTTCCACAAAAAATAAATTTGGGGACAACATAGTGTTTTATAAATATTCTTCTTAGTTGGAAAATATTGAATTTTGTTGTGTCTTCTGTAGAAGACAACATAAATCTATCATGCAATCTTCAATATAAATTAAGATCAAGTAATATATATTTTTCTATATCACTTTAGAAGGAAAAATTCCATTTTTTACTGAGAGGTCTCTGTACCATATAAATCAGAAGGATTTTCTTACTAGATATTATAAAAGAATATATATATTTCTCCTTGAACATATTTTAGTTTTTAGAAAGAAGGCAGAAAGGAAGAACTTTTAAATGTAATTAACTCCTTGTCTTGTGAATCAGTTGTGCTGGTCAATTTTAATGTTGGGGAAACTAAGAACTAAACAGAAAATTCTTTTTATTTCCTTTTAAAATGTTTCAAAATATAGTTACTTCCCTGCCTTGTCTTTGTAGCCACAGTTTAGCAAGCACAGACACACTCCGAGGTTCGGGGTCCGAGGGAGGTCTGGCCCTGGCTCCCACTCTCAGCGGTGCCTGCGCAGTGGACTCTGTCCAACCAGAGCTCACGCTGGAAATCTTGACCAGCTGCCCGAACTCTTTGCCCCTTTCTTCTTCTTAAATGTGAAGGGAAGGAAAGAAATCTCAGGTGATAGTGAATTCCGTTTAATCAAGTTTTACTTTTCTACAGTTTCCAACATCTCTCCCAAACAAAAACAGATAATATAAACCGAGGCCATGAATATCAGGCAGGAGAGAACTATCCCTACAACTTTTGGAATGTCAGTTATGTTGATGTGTTGCTTAGCCTTCATTCCTCAGATTCAAGGCTCGTGGCCTCTAAGGAAGCCTAAAGGATTACTAACCTTTTTGCTCTCATTTCAGCTGAAGCTTCCATTCACCTCCCTGCTCTGGAAGTATTTGACCTTTCTTGGAATAAGTGTGTTGGTGGCAACCTGAAGCTGCTCCTGGAAACACTAAAGCTTTCAATGTCCCTTCAAGTGCTGAGGCTGAGCAGCTGTTCCCTGGTAACGGAGGACATGGCTCTCCTGGGTGTGTATCTATTAAGTTCCAAAGCAGTCCTGGCCTGCAGAGCCCAGTGTGCCTGTCCAGCAAGCCCAGGGGCAGGCAGATAGAGAAGGCAGAGAGGCTGGGGCCCTCTTTGCAGCTTCCCTTCTCCCGACACCTGCTGAGGAGAGATCTCATTAAAACAACGGAGGGCAATTCTAAAACCAGAAAGACAGCGGAGGACGTTTCATAAAAGGAGATAGACGTAGATGAACCGGGAGGTTCCGGCCAGGCAGGTAGCTCCGCCCCTCCCCATACATGAGAGACTCTGGTGTCCGTTACCAACTCAGTGTTAACCCAACTTCAGTCTTCTGCATTCCGCCTCTACAAATGCTGCCCTATCCATATGGTACCTGTGCTATCACTTAATTTTTCTTTATATTGACTCTTTAACTTAAATGCTTCTATTTAAACAGGAAGCCAATCATCGTAACTTGTAGGTAGACATTATTAGAGGGTTGCCAGCTGAAGGCTTTGAGTAGAGGTTCCTTCACTATGTTAGAAAAGGAGAAGGGATTAAAGGCACCTGTAGCACCAGTCTGAGACTTTCTCCATGCCGGTTTAGAAAGATGGAAAGAGAACTGAACAAGAAGCAACTTTTGCACTGTGGGATTCCAGGCTCTGCAATACTTAAACAAACAAATATCCCCTGAAAGCCCCCCTACATGCCACCTTCCACTGGGAAACTGAATTAGAGTACATCTGTCTCCCATCTGCCCTCACCTCCACACAGTATCTACCCGCCACTTCAGCCAGTCTCTGAAGCAGTAAGCACCACTCCAAACAAAGGGTCCAGAGCAAGCACTTCAGCTAATTAGTTGCACCTGTGTCCTCTGTGCACATACAGTCAGTTCTGCTCTAACATGACATGTGTGCCTAAAAAGTCATGCACTGTGGGAAAATCACGCCACAGTAACCCCAGGGCTTATAATGAGAAGCACAAGACTCAGAAACTTCATCAGTGATACATTTTTAAAAACAGGCCACTAACACAAATGGTAGTAAGGCTTATCTGCGTAAAGTGGCTAAGAAATACATAACTACTATAGCAAATGGGGCATTTTGTCTTGGAAAAGGATTAAGGTTTGTGGGAGTGGGCACTCTCACTGGCTTACCTTTTTGCCCCACACCTAACAGCCTGTACACTGGAAGAAAAGAACAAAGAGAGACAGGGAAAGAGGGAGAAAAAGAGGACAGAGAAGAACGAGACAAAACTGGCTGGGAGGAAGGGGGAAATTGAAGAGGCAAAGGCTCAGGACTTTACAGCGTTGGGTTTCAGCTTGTGAGTTATTTTAAGGGGTGGAAGGATTATCTGACCGTCAGATGGAAAGTTTGAACCCGGATGTGGGTGGGTGAGGCTCATTGTCCTTGTGAGGTGTGTGTGGGTGTGGGTGTGGGGAGTTTGTTTACTCCTATGCCTGGCTTGGCACAGCTGCATACAGTTTTGTGTGTTCACTTAGTGTTTCCTGTGGACAAATTACACATAAGCAAACAAAAAATTTGTGTTATGTGCACATTGTTTTCTGATATTTCAATCTAGTTGGGGCAAATTTGTTTTCAAAACAAATTCTATGGTAAAACATTATAATTGGACGATGAGGACAAAGCATCGTGACTTTAATTTGCATTTCCCTAATGACTAATCATAATGAGCATTTTTTAAATATAGTTACTTGTCTGTATTCCTTGGTCAAGGATCTGTTCTAATCTTTTGTCTAAGTTTAGAAATTGGATTGATGACTTCTTTAGATTTACATGTTCTTTATCAGATCTGTACTTTGCAAATGTTTTCTCCGATTCTATAGCATATTTTCTCATTCTCTTAACAGTATCTTGCAGAGTAAAACTTTCAGTTTTATTGAAGACTATTTGTCAAATTGTTAATTTGATGAATAGAGTTTTCTGTATTTCATCTTAGAGCTTTTTGCAAAAGACAAGTTCTCAATGAATTTTTCTATATTCTACAAGTTTTTAATTACATTTTGACTTGTTATTCATTTAGTTATTTTTGTACAAGGTGTAAGATATGGACCAAAGTTGTTTTTGCATATGACTGCTCAATTGTTCAAGCAACATTAGTTGAAAAGACTCTCTTTTATTCATTGAATTGCTTTGCATTTTTGTTAAAAATCAATTGGCCATATTTGTGAGGGTCTATTTCTGGTCTGTCTAGCCTCTTCCACTAATCTATATAACTACTGTTTTGGCAATACCACGGTGTCTTGGTTACTGAAGTTTATAGTAAGACTTGAAATTAGGTAATAGGGATATTCTGACTTTGTTCTTTTGTAAAACTGTTTTGGTTACTTTAGTTCCTTGACAATTCCATATAAATTTTAGAATCAACTTGTCAACATCTACAAAAAATCTTATTGTCATTTTAATTGGGAGTGCACTGAATCTACAGATAAATTTAGGAGAAATGACATCTTCACTATAATGAGCATTCCAACCTATGAACACAGTGTAACCCTCTTTTTATTTAGGTCCTTTTTGATTTCTTTCATTGGCGTTTTGCAGTTTCTACCACATAGATCCTGTACATATTTTGTTAAATTTATATCTGAGTATTTTATTTTTTAATTAAGGTACTATTACAAAACGTACTATTTTAGAATTTTGATTCCCAGTTGGTCTTTGACATAGTATATATGTAGGTATGCAATTGATTTTTGTATATTGACATATTCTACTGCAGCCTTACTAAACTCATCTATTAGTTCTAGTTTTTGTTTTGTTTTGTTTTGTTTTTGTAGATACTGCAGGATTTTCTACATGTCTTCTATAATTAGAAACAGTTTTACCTCTTCTTCTCCAGGCTGTATATCATTAGATCCTTTTTCCTGGTTGTTTAATGGGCTAGATAATTTCCAGTAGATGTTGAATGTAATGAGAGCAGACATTTTGCCTTGTTCCCAATATTAGGGGAAAGGATTTAGTCCTTCACCACTAGGTGTGTTGTTAGCTATAGGTTTTTAAATAAGTGTGCCCTTATCAGGTAAAGGAATATTAATCTAGCAAGAGTTCATATAATGAGTTAAAGATAAATCTTGTGCTGACCAGTGTGGCTCAGTTGTTGAACGTTGTCCCGCAAAGTGAAAGGTCCCCAGTTCACTTTCTTTTCAGGGCACAAGCCTGGGTTGCAGGTTCAGTCCCCAGTTGGGGTGCATGCAAGAGGCAACCAATTGATGTTTCTTGCTCATGTTAGTGTTTCTCTTCCCTCTTTCTCCCTCCCTTCCTCTCCTCTAAAAATTAATAAAATCTAAAAAAAATTTTAAAAAGAGAAATCTTCTTAAATGCCTTTTCTGCATCTATGAAGATGAGCATTTTTTTCTTTAGTTTGTTATTAGGGTAAATGAAAATAATTAATTTTCAAATGTTGAATCAGCCTTATGTTTCTAGTACAAGCCCCACTTGGTTGTGATGTATTATCTTTGTCATATATTTGTTGAGGATGTGACTGTGTTCATGAGAGATAATGGCCTTGTAATGTCTTTGTGTGTCTTTGGTATCAGGGTAATGATGCCTCATAAAATGAGTTGGCAAGTGTTCCTGCCTCTTTTATCTCCCTGAAACATTATGTAGAATTGGTATTATTTTCTTCCTTAACTATTTCACAGAACTTTCCATTGAACCTGTCTAAACTTGTAGTTTTCTTTGTGAGAAGTTTTAAATTAAAAATGTAATTTAAAAAATAGAGCTCTGGCCAGTGTGGCTCAGTTGGTTAGAGTGTCATCCTGTAAAAGGTTTGGGGTTTGATTCCCTGTCACGGCATGTACCAGAGGGCAACCAATCAATGTTTCCCTCTCACATCTCTGTCTCTCCCTTCCTCTCTCTCTAAAAGCAATGAAAAAAAAATGTCCTCAGGTGAGGATAAAAAACTTTTTAAAATAGATACAGGACTATTTATCTCTTCTTGGTTGAATTTTGGTGATTCATGCCTTTCAAGGAATTGGCCCATTTCATCAAGCTTGTTGAATTTATGGAAATGAAATCGTTCTCTTATTACACTTTTAATGTCTGTAGTGATACCCCCTCTCACATTCCTGATATTGGTCATTTGTGTTTTCATATTTCTTTTTTCCTGCCTAATCTGACTAAAGGTGTACTAGTTTTGTGTTGCAGTGTAACAAACTAATTTGTGACTTAAAACAACACCCATTTATTTGCTCACAATTCTGTAGGCTAGAGGGCGGCCACAACGTGTCTGAGTTCTCCACTTAGGGTGTCACCAGGCTGAAATCAAGGTGTCAGGCAGGCTGAGCTCTCATCCGAAGGCTGGGGATGAATCCACTCTCAGGATCATCCTTATTGTTGGCAGAATTCAGTTCCTTGAAGCTGCAGGACTGAGGTGTCTGTTTTCTTGCTAGCTCTCAGCTACAGGAGGCCATTCCTCAATACATGGCCCCTGATCTTCAAGAAGCAACAGGGTGTCAGTGCTTCTCACACTTCAAATCTTTCTGACCTTTTCTGTGACTTCCTTTCTCTTCTGCTACCAGCTGGAGAAATGTCTTTGCTTTTAAAGGGCTCATGTCATTAAGTTAAACCCACCTGGATAATCTGCATTTCTTAAAATCACCTGTGCCATATAGCATAACCTAATCATGGAAGTGAAATCCATTATATTCACTGCCCTGGGGAGTGGAGTGTAAGTCTTGGGGCCACTGTAGAATTCTGACAACCATGAAAGTTAGTCAGTGTTAATACTTTCTCAAAGAATCAGCTTTTGGTTTCATTCTTTACTTTTGTGCTTGAATTGGACACTATTACACATCTATGAGTTATTTCATTTAAAGCCTGTAATTAAAATTTGCTTCTTCAATTTTTTTGTCTGCATCAAATTTTATTAATCATAGCTCAGCCATTATATGTTTTTTAAATTTTACTACCAGTATTTTTTCTCAGATCAAAATGCAACTTTTAATTTTTGCAAAATGCAACTTTTGTATTTTGTCGGGAATTTTTTCCTTTCAAGTTTTACCCAGTAATATATACTACTATGTGTGGTTTTCACCATTGTCACTTTTACATTGCTTTTATTATTTCTAGCAGAAACATTCTTTAAGATTTTTTAATCACTAGTAGCTTATGTTTTTTCTTTTATAAATAACAGCATTATTTTTTTTCATATAGTAAACTATGAAAAAAGTATTTCCATTGTCTATGATCTAATTACCCAGATTTAAAAAATATATAAATAATATAAAATACTATAATATAATAAATAGAGCACTCACATGATTGGAACATTTAAACAATATAGGAAAGGTGAAATGATGCCTAGGATTTGTTTGAAAATGCTAAAAACAACCCAAACAAACAAAGGGGCAAGAAGGGGACCAGCTGAGCCTAGACCAGTGTAATGACGATAACTGTTGGGGCTGAGTGATAGGGCCTTGGGGGTCCATGGTCCTCATCTGTCAACTTTCAGTATGTTTCAAAAATTCCCATAATAGAAGATTTTCTAAAGAGAGAAGGCATGCACATTGTCTTTCACACTTACTTAGGTCTTGAGGATGTGGTGAGTGACGTTGCCTAACGACAGAAAGGAAGAAACCCATGGACACGGGCATCTAGGGCCTGAGTGCCACCGTTGAGCATACATGCTGCTAAGCCGTCAAGTGCACTGTGGAATCAAACTTGTCACAAACGAAAGGAATGGGAACAGAGTATCCTGCTTGGTCAGGCAGCCAAGATGTGTAAGAAATGATTGGAAAAACAGGGCATGTTTGGTGCTGAAGGGGGGAAATTTGAGGGCACCTGACTGTTGTCCAGCACTGCAGGGCTAGCACGGGGAGGAGCTGAGGGTTCAGGCAGGCTGAAGTGAATGATGGGGGGTGGGGGGCAAGCTGCCAGAGGGCAGGTGGGGCCCAGAGGAAGGGCATCCTCCTGCTGAGAGCTGCTTCCCTCTGTGGGGCAACCTAACCGGGTGCTTCAGGCAGAATCGGGCTGGTCACATCCTAGAGAAGCTGTGAAAGGGGTTCTTCTCCGATCATGGACCCGGAGCTTGAGTGAGGATACCTCCAAGGTCCCTTGCAACTCTGAGACTTTACACTACTCCTCTCATCTCTATAATCTATTTCAACTTTTGACTGAAAATGAAAGCATATACTGTTTATCTTGGCTAGAGCTGTTCTCTTAGCTTCATCATTAATGATCATTTATTAAGTGTCATTGTAGGTAATACTGTGATACATGCTATTCTAAGAGAAAATTGTGTATTAGAGGTCTCTCAGTTGGATTAGAAATTATCTAGGTAAATGTTACACATGGAATGTGCTCAATTAAATGAATTGAGAATGGTGAATAAAGAATGACCGAATGAATGACCAATGAACAACTAAACAGTGTTAAACAACAAGAAGACTGTTTACTAACAGTCCTCAGTTGAAGCGGATGAACCATTGTTTCTCACATTTAATAAGAGAAAACCTGCAAGAAGAACTGGGCCCCCAGTGGAGTAAAAAGCAGGAACTTGACAAAAAAAATATTCTTCATGTTGGGATTTAGTAAGGGAAAATAAAATCCATTTTCAAGTTGTGCATGGGTTGCCTAGAGAGAAATTCTGTTGCAAAAGTAATTTCAGATGCCCTAAATAAAGCTGCTAGCTAATAACAAATCATTACTAATTACCAATCTTGTCATTATGAATCTTGGACCTACTGTGTTGTGTTGAAAGTGGGAAACAACCAGGAGAGAAAGTATTCCTGTATTTTAGCATTTATAGTGATTTTGTCTTTCAGCATCGGTAATGCAGACAGGTCATCTGGCCAGGCTGCAGAAGCTCGACCTAAGCTATAACGACAGCGTGTGTGATGCAGGATGGGCTGTCTTCTGCCAAAACGTGTGGCTCCTCAAAGAATTAACCGAGTTGGATATCAGCCTTCGGCCATCAACTTTTCGAGATTGCGGACAATGGTTTAGGCACTTGTTATGCGCCGTGACCAGGCTTCCAGAGATCACTGAAATAGGAATGAAAAGATGGATCCTTCCACCTTCCCTGGAGGAAGAACTAGAATGCTTTGACCGAGATCACAGAAGCAGCATTCGCTTTGACCATGGTGGATATCAGTAAGCTGATTTCCAAGGTCATGACTATGATTCTGTTTATATAATATTTTTGAAATAACAGAATTACCGAGACAGAGAATGGCTTAAGGACTGAAAGAGGAGTAGGTGGTAGATGTACCTAAAAAAAAACAAAAACAAAACAAAACCCAAAACCAAACCACAGTGAAGACCTGTGGTGGAACCATTCTGTAGTCTGATTGTGCTGGTGTCTGCATGAAGCTGTATGTGACACCACTGCACTGACCTACACGCACACGTAAGTGAGTGTGTGTATAACTGGAGGAATCTGAGTAAGTTCTCTTATCAGCACCATGCAGACTTTCTGATCTTATTCCTGTGTTATAGTTATGCAAGATGTTGGCACTGAGGCAGGGTAAAGGGCCCATGGGCCTCTCTGCACGTTTCTTTGGAATTTCCCATGAATATATAATTATTTCAAAATTAAAAGTTTTTAAAAGTAGACAGAGTACTTAACAAACCTCTACATGTCTGTCAGATGCATCTGCAATTATCTGTTTATGGCCAATCTGGTTTTATTTGGATCTCCCACTTTTACTTCTCCCTGATATTATCAGGAAGCAATTCCCAGGCTTCACATCATTTTATCACAAATATTTCAGTAAAAGTAAGTTTCTTTTTTTTACACATGGCCATAATTCTATGAATAATTTTAGTGTGCTAGGCATCTACTTCCTATATATTTTTGCCTCCTTTATCCATCAGGTTTCATTACCTCGTCATTAATACACAAAATTATTTTTTCTTTTCCTTTACAGGTTTTCCTTTTACGTCCTTCTTTCCTTTCTTATCTTTTGGAGAATTCTTTCCTTTCTTTCGTAATTTTACCAGTTCTTCAAATCTCCCCAATCCTTTCCGTACCATCATTCCACGCCACCATGCCTGAATCTGAAAACAAGGTAAACCCAAACAGCATCAGTGGGTATCACTACGAACTGGGGGAGGTTACATCCCTTTGTTCTGACGTGTGGTCTTAAAGATGTGGAAAATGGAATGTGATTAGAACTCTAAACCTTATTTTCTCTCTTTCTCCATTGACCAGTCATCCATGAATTTAAAAAAAAGTTCTTAGTGTTTTTATGCACTAGGCACTGTTCTAAACCTTGGGCAAACAGCAGTAAAATACCGATGTCACTGACTTTGTGGAGCTCACACTCCAGGGAGTGGGAGAGACAATAAACTACAAATACACGAATGTGTTAAATGCCCTGGAGATGACAGTGCAAGGGAGGGGAATCAGGGGTGCCCCTACCCTGCCTTCATCTTATGACTGAACTTCCTGTGTCCCTGCCCATTACAGCCAGCCCTCCCCTACCCCTCACTAGATCCTATTCCCTCCCACCTACTCAGGAACATCCCTCCTCTAGTAGTAAGACTCTTTGAGTGTCTAGCACCCAGAACTACAAGAAAATTCATTTCTGTTGTTTAAGCCACTCAGTCTATAGTCTGTTGTTGTGATAGCCTGAGCTAACTAAGGCAGTCATTTTTCCAATGAGGCCTACCTTAACTATCCATTTAAATTAAAATCCTACCCCCTGGCTGGTATGGCTCAGTGAGTTGGGTGCTGGCCTGTGAACCAAGATGTTGCTAGTTCAATTCTCAGTCAGGGCACATGCTTGGGTTGTGGGCCAGGTCCCCAGTTGGGGGCCCGCGAGAGTCAACTGATCAATGTTTCTCTCACACATCCATGTTTCTCTGCCTCTCTTTCTCCCTCCCTTTCTCTCTCTCTAAAAATAAATAAAATCTTAAAATAATAAATCAAAATCCCACAACACATACCCACACAACATCTGGCAATCTCAGCTCCCCTCAGCTTGAACTTTTTTCCAATACCACTTTACACTTTCTGACTCAGTATATAATTTAATGTTTTATATTTCATGTCTTAATTCCCATGACACTAAGCTTCAAGCAATATGAGGATAGCAATATTTGTGTTTGTTCCATGATATATTTCCAGTACCTAGAACAGTGCCTGGCACATACAGGAAGCTCAATAAATATTTGTTGAATGAATGAATGAATGAGTACAGTGGGGGTATGCTATTTTATGTAAGGTGGATTAAGGGCAGGTGTGAGGATATTTGAGCAGAGACTCAACTAAATGAGGGCAGAGTATAGTCCGGATCAGGGGGAAGTGTCTCCGGGCAGGAGGATCCAGAGGTGAGACCCTGAGGCAGGAGCATGCTTGGATGTTGGAAACCATCAAGGACCCTGTTTGTGACTCAGGTGAAGTAAAAATGGGAAAGAGGAGATGGGGAGTGAAAGCAGCAGATCAGTTAGGGTGGTGATTGTTCAAGGGAACAGTATTGCCCTCTAGAGGCATTCCGAAAATGTACAGGGCTTTTCGTGTGAAGGTTTAGTAGTCTTCAATTGTGTGGCATGCACCCTGATCCACCAAGACTTCCCAAGGATGTGCATGCAGGCTCGCATCGTTTGGAAGCAATCCATTCCCAAATGTCACCTTCCATATGTGCCCTTTCCTAAAAGGTACCTGCCTAGGAACACAACTGCTGACTCTCTGCTCCCACCTCCCTGTTCACAGCGGTCCCTCTGGCACACCTCTCATCCACCTGCATCTGATTAGGGAGTGTGGCCATGGACTCCCAAAAGAGGGACAATTCAAAATAGTACTATTGATGTTGGCCCTAAGAACAGGATAACCAATTGCTTTGCCTTCCAACTCTTTGCCTTCAAGAGAATTGAAGGTAGACCCATTGATTTGTCTGCTAAGAGCCTGTTATCTGATTTGGGGGAGTATAAATCTGGGAAAAGTCCAGGATACGTGTAATGCATTGCCATTTAAAACAAAATGTAGGCAAAAAACACTTCTTCCATTCTTGTCAACTTATTTACGTGAACAAGGTTTCTCAGCACTTCATCTGTAAAATGGAAAACAGGCGTAGAACTGACGCCTAGCCCTGTCTCACTCTAGCAGTAAGTAATCCTGAGGTATCCCTGTGTGAGCATACATAAACTATGTGAGAAAGTTTCTCTCATTTGTATCTGTACTTCACAAAAATCCTATAGGTCAAATACTTAAACATCAAAATATGTAAGAGATGTTATATTGTTTTGGTCAATTTTATACTACTAATAATTATAAGATGACTAATAAAATTTAATAATCCAGAACACTAAAAACACTATGGTCACACACAAAAATTTAATTTTAAATTTTAATTTACATAAAATATTTTTTTGCCTAGAAGTTTGAAACATGAAATACAAATGACTTAAAATAATATGACTAATAAAATGTTTATTTTATTTTAAGCTAAACCTTAAGACAAACACACACACACACAACATTAAGATCAATTCTGAGGGGGAATGGAATGAAAATACATGTTCAAGATGAAAAAATTATGGCAAGCTTTCTGCCTGTAAACTAAGAGCTTGTTCGAGTACTTTGTAAATTGATGTTGACTGACATATCAAATCAAAATGACATTTATATTCCATTGGATACACTTAAAATATTGGTTTAAGAGCTCCATTTAAAAGTATCAATATTTAAAACTCACTGGAAAGTATATCTTTTGCAATAATTTAAACCCAGTGGCAAAAAAACTTAAATACAAATTTTAAAATGTACAAGAAGGTATATGGTTTTTCAAAAACGTTTTTAGGGAAAAAAGTGTTATTTTTATTCTTCTAGTGTAGTCATTCCTGTGTGTATGTGTGTGTGTATTTAAAATAAATATTTTCATAATTTTTAAAATAGAAATGACTTTTCTTTTTCCTTAATGTTGTAGCTCAGGCATTACTTTGATTTATTAAAATCATGTGTTTTTGGTAGGTTATGTTACCTGAGTTTCATTTCAGGGAAGACGGAACATGTCAAGTTCAGCAGAGGAAGGCCGACCCGCCTGTGTGGTGGCAGCGTCAGTCTGCTGCGGAGTGGATGGTGTGTTTTAAGGGAGCAGGGGTGGAAGCGGGGACGTGAGAAGAAAAGGGCTTGGATCAGTTGAACAGGGAATCCTGAATGTTGACTGAAGTGGACACAGTCCTGGTCCATCTGAGGTACCCTGTGTCTCCAGAGCTTGGTGGGCAAGAAGGAGAGAGACAGGGCTCTTAGCTCTTTGATCCTAGTTAGTGGCAGAGCTGGCCTCTGGTCTCAAGGCCTCTGCTCCAGGATGCTTTCATTTCTGATTTTTCAGACGTATCTGACTGACTTTGTTAGTACCAGCTGTTCACTCCAGTGAACAGCCTAAGGATTTTAGGTCATTTTCGGATTTGGAATTTCAGTTCTTTTGCCAGATTGTTGGCTTCTTTTCTGACAAGGACATAAGGAACATAAAAGACAAAAATGCCAGGATGATGTTCAAAATTCCCCTGCTTAGCTGTGAGTAAGGAAATGAGTCTCTACCCTTGAGGACAAGGTACAGATGTGACAAGAGAGAAGCCTCATTGGATAATCTATAATACATGTAACACGGACCCCTCTCCAAAGCAACTATGAATACATTATCTGGAAGTTTTGCTGATTTTACCTTTGTTGCTAATACTTTCATATATCTTTCCTCCTTAAGGTATGTGAATATAGCCTCTTTGCCTTTAGTGCACACTTCTATTGGGGGTTCTTCCATGGGATTGCCCGTCAGTGTCAAAGCCTTTAGATTCACCAGACTGTCTAAATCTTGTGGAAGTTGGGTGAGCAAGTTGTCCTCCAGCAGTAATTCTTTCAAAGCTGAAACAATTTGTTTAAATGATGGATTTGTCTTAAAAAAGGAGGCAAGATTAAAACATGAATTCTCTAGTCTAGTCACTTAGAAATGGTTGTTTCCTATTGCACCATTCACAAGAGACATCAGATCCCATGAGGCAAACCCAAGTTCTCTTCTTTAAAACAAGTCCAAATTGTTGGAGCCAGTGTAATCAAGAGTGAGAGACAGGAACATAGGAAACACCGAAATATTCTGAGAACGCTCCATTCCTCCAGGGACAAAGGACAGGATAAAAGTGTGTGATCAGGAGCATTACTAAGGAGTACTGCATACCCACCCCTAGCCCCTAATATTTCAATATCTTGTGGGCAGGTAAGAGCTTCCACTCATATTTCTTCACCCTTCGTTCATTAAAGAATAGTCATAGTTTGGAACACATCTATAAACCTGAAGATTCAGCACACTGCGGAGAAATTTTTTTAAAAAATCTGGCCCTACTAGGAGCTCAGCAAAAGCTTATTAAATAAATGAATGGATTAATGGATATACAAATCACGGGTTAGCCCAGTGGAAAATGTTTGAGTGTTTACATGTGAGTCATATATGACTTTTCATGTCAATCATGTAGCTCCAAAAGCTCCCACTCCTTGCTGACATCACCACTCTGATTCAATACTTTTCCTTTTCTTCAAGTGACGGAGTGACCTAACGTGAATTTACTGTAGCACTGCAACTCCCAATTCTGGCATGGGGCACATGCTCAGTAAATTATTTTCAGTGGTATAATGACTACATGGGTGAATGCTAATTTTCTTAGTAGTTGCCATTTACTTTTATTTTCAATTCCCAATAAATAATCTGCCTTTGTGAGGCTCTTAGCTATACTAGTCAGGCACCTGACCTTCCCCACATCACAGGTGAGCCCTGCAAGAATGTCCAACCTCTCTAAACACTAAAGCAAAGAAGCCTTCACTATGGAAAATGCTGGCCTCAAACTCTGCTAGGCTGTGGACCTACTAAGCTGCTTCACCTTGTGCTTGGCAGATGGAATGTGGAAGTTGCTTAAGCAGATTGTGGCGGCAATCAAGAATTTCCAGGTTAGGCATTGACCCCAAGGTTACTGGCAAGTACTCCAGATAGTTGTTCTCCATATACAGCTCTTTGAGATTCTGAAACAATATGACAGTATATACTGTAATGATCCTTAAGCTGAAAAATGACATCATAACTAGAATCACCTGTGAGTTCCCAAGGTCTTTTAATGAGGGTTATTATGTGTTACAATAAAGGAAAAAAAACATGTAAAGGACCATCATCAAAAAATAAAGTTATTTTTGAGTTAAGCCATTAGATGTGGTTCCCATTTATGTAAGGGAAAGAGAACATGGGAATCCAGTGTTTCCATCCAGTTCTTTGTTTCACAAGAACTTAATGGAAAAATAATTTGGATTATTTAACTACACACATCATTTATCCCTTTCAATAGCTAATTATCTCAGATGGTAATTAGCCTCAAAAGTGTAATTTGCTCAACTATCAATCCAACATTGCCCAAGTGGAAGTAGCCAAATGTACAGATAATAAGTTAACAACTTTCAAATTTACTGGGCAAAAATTTGTTTATATTTCACCCTAAGATTTTGCAGAGTGTGGCATGGCATATACGAGGAGTAAGTTGATGAATGGAGTTCTGTGAACACAGAGCAGAGGAATGGAGAACCCTGTGTCACAGGTGGGAAGTATCTGTGTCATACATACCATTGCGCAGTTAAATGCCCAGGATAATGGGCAGCCCACACTTACTGTATCAGTATTAAGAGTGTAGTACCAGGAGCATGAAAAAAAAAAAAAACAATTCTTTAAAGTATGCGTATAGATAAAGACAAACTGGTATGGCTACTTCAAGTGAAGTTATCTTGTTTCTTTGCTAGGACTCGGCACTGTGCAGTGGACCCATCTTCCCTGAATCTGGTGCAACAGTGAAACAGACCATGATTGCCCTTCTACCATGTAGAGTGGGAGGTGTTATTGCCCCATCCAAAATGCAGGCTCCCAGTCATGTCATCTGTATGATAATTTAACTTCAAAATAATACAACTTTCAGGGGCAACTTATAAAAAAGTGGAAAGTAAATGAAAAGAAGTGTCATTTAATTTATGCAAATAAAACATGACAAACCACACAGTGGAAAGAAATATGGCATAACATACCCAAGAGCAATCACAACAAAATGTTCTTAGAGTATAAATCTGAGGGTAACCATTCGGGAAGACAATGGAAGCTTCAAGTATGATAACGACCGCCTGTTTGGAGCTGGAAATCTACTATGGTTGATTCCAGACACAGCCTGTGGGGACACCACCATATTTTCTCAATATCAGGCAACTTAAGGAATCAGTAGGCATGTAGTTCTTTAACTGCTACTTTGAAGATGCTTACCTGTAGTTTCCCAATGTGATCTGGCACATAGGTGAGCTTGGTTCCCTGATCTTGCCCAATGTATAATTTCTCTAAAGACTCTAAAGAAAAGATTTCTTCTGGAAATGAAAGGAACTGATTCCCAGTTAACCCAAGCGTCTTCAATTTTGAAAGTGAGCCGAAGCCTGCAGGTAACTAGAAGTATTCAGAAAAGATAAGAAAAAATCAGGTCAAGATTTTTTTTTTTACAGTAAGAAAATAAGTTGGACTTTTAGTTTTGAGGCAGATTTTTTAAACAAAAAATAGAGCAATTTAGCAATTCCTACATATGACAAGTTTGCACATATGTCTGCAGAGATAGTATTTAAACTTGTAGATCTGAAATCTGGAGTTCCACTTTTTCCCTGAACTTCTCTGCTCTTCACTTTTATGCACTGCTTTAAATTGGAGCAATTTTTAGCCTTTATTGCAAATTTTTGAACAGTAGTGTAGCAAATGTTTGATATTATTGAAAAAAAAAGACTAAAATCATTAGTGTAATGCAATTATAGTCATAATTAAGTTATTAGAACTGACAAATTTAGTGACATGATCTCTCACACTAAAAGGCTTTAACTCAGCATTTTTTACAAGTTCTATGATCTTTTATCAGGAAATAGAGTGTCTGAACAGTGCTGCCAGCACAGGTTGTGCACTGCACAAGTCCAAGGGTGCAGAATGGCATGGTGGCATTCAACAGCCCTGTAGCTGCAAATGCACTTATGTGTTTTTTACGTTCAGTATGATTATGTATTAGTTTCAGGTGTACAGCCTAGTGGTTAGACAGTCATATACTTTCCAAGTAGTTCCGCCAATACTTTAAGTAACCACCTGTCACTGCATATAGTTACTACAATATTATTGAATATATTTGCTAGTCTGTACTTTACATCCCCATGACTATTTTATAACTACCAATTTGTACTTCTTAATCTCTTTACCCTTTTAACACAGTCCCCTAACCCTGCTCCCCTCTGGCAATCACCGGTCTGATCTCTGTATCTATGGGTCTATTTTAATTTTGTTTGTTCATATATTTTGTCCTTTAGATTCCACATATAAATGAAATAATATGGTATTTGTCTTTCTCTGTAGGACTTACTTCACTTAGCATGATACCTTGTAGGTCCATCCATGCTGTCACACACAGAAAGATTTCATTCTTTTTTTTTTTATGGCTGTAACTTAGCAACTTTGAAACTTCAGTAGAACTCTCAGATGCAAACAATGAAGGCTATTATATCTCGCCCTTTTTCTCCCCTCCAGGGAATACCAAGGCTTGTGTGCCCTGCGTGGGTTTTAGGTAGGCATCTCCCAGACTCCCAGACTTTCAGGGTTGGAAAGCCCTCTATTCTACCTTCTAATGTGGTGGTTGAATATATTTCATAGCTAACCATACAGCCCACAGTGAAACACCATCTCCTGGAATGAAAAGCTCATTACCTTGGATGAAAACCTCTAATCACCAGATTTTCTTCTTTTTTCAAGCCCAAATCAGTGTCACTATTATGTCCAACTATAGGTCTTTCTGGCCCTCTGGAACCACATGGAAAATTAGCATTTTAAAAATGTGTGACACTCTCATCTATTGGTTATGTTAGAAATGCTGATTTTCTTGAAGGAAAAAAAAAAAGCCTAGCTATACAAGGTCTGTATGGTATAAGTCCAGCTATTGTTAATATAATGGGAATGGTTTGAGCCACATCGATGTAACCTGGCAGCCAAGGAAAGTGGACTGGAATGCACATGTGTGAACAAGGACTTCACTGTACTAGTCAGTGGGGGCTGTAGAGCCATTGAGTGAACATGTGTACTGTGTGGCCATCGCATTCAAAATGACTTAGTGAGTAGAGCATCAAATTTTGCATTAAGCTTGACTATTTCTCTGTGGAAACTATTCAGGTGATTTAGAAGGCTGCAGCTACGGGCAACTGGTGATTGACAGCTTCATCACGACAACATTATGCATCATGTCTCCTACAGAGATTTTTTGTGAAATAGCAAATCACTCAGGTGACTCAGCCCTCCTACAGCCCAGATTTGGTGCCTTATGACTTTTGACTTTTCCCAGAACCAAAGTCACCTTTGAAAGGGAAGAGATTTCAGAGCATCTATGAGATTCAAGAAAATATGATGCGGCAGCTGATGGCAATTAGGAGAACTGTGGTCCCAAGGTGCCTACTTTAAAAGGGACTGGGGTGTTACTGTTCTATGTACAACGTTTCTTGTATCTTCTTCGGTAAATGTCTCTATTTTTCATATTACATGGCTGGATACTTTCTAGATAGACCTAGTATATCTCCATGTAACAATGGGGAATTGTAACTTACCCCACCATTCTTCTGACATTGTTTTTGTAACTGCTGACTCTGACTAATATGTAGCTTGTAGATAAACAGCATATTTGTAAAAGAATCCTAGGAACTAAGTTCAAAAGATAAAGACTCCTACCTTCAGGCACTCCAGCTCCAGATTTGCTGATCTCCAACGTAAAACCAGGATGATGCACACCAGACCATTGCTTGACCTGTTTCTAGGTCCTTATCAGGATGGACTGTGCTGTTCTGCACGTACAGAACCTTTCAAGCCCCTCCCTTGATCTCTTTATGCTGCTTTCTCTCTCTCCTTATAAAAACCTCCACCTGCACTGAGATGTTAAGATGGGCTTTGAGACAGGAGTTCCCCATCCTCTCAGATTGCAGGCATCAGAACAAACTACTTTCCCTCTCACCAGCACGTCTCACAGGTTTGGCTTTTGTTGTGGCAGACAGCCAGACCTGTGTTTGGTCACCTGTGTATGTGTATTTCCGTGTGACTAAAGATTAATAAGCGGCATCACAGGATTCTGCAATTTGGTGTTTTACTTTTTAATCAACACTACAATTTTGAGATTTAGCCACACTGGCAACTACAGCTCCAGCTTACTTGAATTATTGTGTAGGGTTGCATTTTATGAATACGTATACCACGATGTCCTTGTTAATTCCTCTACTGACATTTAGATGGTCTCCCCTTGCTGCATGATTATCAACAAGGCTGATGAACATTTCTGAACATGACACCCTGCTTCATCCCTTCCGGGAGCAAATTTCCCCAGGGGTAAAGCTGTGCTTGCAGTTTCCCATTAATGGACCATTCAGGTCTAAGGTTGTACAGGCCAGAAATCCTGCTAATAGCATTTTAAAAGAAATCCTGTTAGGAGGTGGTCTTTGTTAAAGATTTAGACCCTGGAGCCCAGAAGCTCTGAGTGAGAATCCTGTCTTTATCGTTGTAGGTATGAGGCCTCAACAAATTACTTAAGCTCCTCATGCCTCACTTTCCTCACAAACCATTGAAGATAATATTACCCTGTCAAAAATCCTTGTGAAGATTAAAGGAGATAATCCACATAAAACACTTTGCCCAGTGACTGCCATACATATTATAAACATTAGCTACTATTTATAATTAATATTGTTATTTGGGGAGAGTAGTGTAAATGATCACCTTGTTGGACATATTTGTTAACACCAGGTTTTTGGGCATAAAGTCAGTTGGAATTTGTGTAGACACAGAATCACACCGACTGAGGGCAGGGAGGGCCCTTACGGCGAGTGTAGTGACACCAGAAAGGGAATCAGTACCTGCCGTAGTTTATTATCATCCAGCGCCAGGACCTCCAGGTTCTTCATTACACACAAGTGCGACGGGCAGCTTTCCAGATGGTTCTGACTGAGGTCCAGGAAGCGCAGGTTGACCAGCCGCCAGAAGGAGCGCCGCAGCGCCCGCAGGCCGGTGTTGCTCAGGTAGAGCAGGTGCAGCGAGGTCCACCTGCAGACGAGGCGCGGCACCTTCTCCAGGGGGTTCCCGCTCAGCCCCAGCTCCGTCATCTCCGAGAGCTCCTCCAGGGTGCGCGGGATGGAGTGCAGCCGGTTGTGGGACAAGTCCAGCACCGACAGTTGGCTGCACTGGCACAGGGACTCGGGCAGAAAGTGCAGGTCGTTCCCAGCCGCGTAGAGCTTCCACAGCCTGTTCAGGTTCCCGATCTCTTCTGGGATGGCCGTTAGTTTGTTCTCATCCAGGTCAATGATCTCCAGGTTGTAGAGGACGCAGAGCTCCGGCGGGAAAGCTTCCAGCTGGTTTTGCTTCAGGTAGATCTCCCTCAGTTTGGTCTGGTTCACGATTTCCTTGGGCAGCGATGTCAGGTTGTTTCCGGACAGTCCGAGCAGCTCGAGGTGGTGAAGATGCTTACAGATCTGGACGGGGACCTCCCGCAGGTGGGTGCGGTAGAGGCGGAGCTGGCGCAGCTTGCGGAGGCTGCAGAGGACCAGCAGAGAGGAGGGGAGGAGGGGGTTGTCGCTCAGGTCCAGGCCCTCCAGGTTCCCCAGGCCAGTCAGCTGGGGACACAGCCTGCTCAGCTTGTTCTTGTTCAGGTAGAGGATTTTGACATTCTTTAGATACTGAATATCCGGAGGGATTTCTTCAATCTGGTTATTTTCCAGATGCACTTCTTCCAAGTCTTTTAATTCTAAAATCTCCGATGGAATGGTAGCCAGGTTCTGATTAGAACCATCCACGAAAAATGTTCTATCAGAGATTTGCTGTGGGTCATATTTTTGATGTATCGTAGAGGACTGTTCCACTGATTTCATAATGTTATTTGACATTATCTGGATGAAAAATTCAAATATTCAAAATCTGAAATAGTATGAAAAGAAAAAATCAGAGTTTACCTGCCACCAGATTTGGTATCCTTAAGAGAGACACAATTAAAATATAGTTGATTAAATTCAGTGCTTGACATTATGACACAACATAAAACGTAGGTTTTTGTGTTCTGTGTTAGGAGAGGAATTAAAGTGTAGACTCCTTTTTCTCCTAACGGGTGACTAATGTGAAGAAAAAAAAAGAGTATCTAATTTCAGTTTTTAAAAATGTCTGTCTTGGTTCTCTTTCCAGGTAGGAAGTAAAAATTTGCAAAAGACACTGAAAAAACACTAGGAAAAATTAATATTTTAATATACAGTACTTTTTTTTTCTTAAAACCACCAGAGAGTTGTAGGTGCAAGGAAGGTCAAAAGAATTAAATCTGCGAGATGGACTAGTCCTTCCTAAATAAGTGGAGACCAGTGAGCACTGTCATGCCTGGAGGCATTTTCAAGTTTGGAGACTGGCAGGTAGAGAAGCAAGCCCTCCATAGACGTAGGCAAAGGACCTTGAGGGACAAGGAGAAGCCAGCCAAACTTTTAACGGCCATGGTGGATTAGAATCTGGGGGAGCGTCAAGTGCAGAGTCAGTCCTTCCCACCAGCCAGTTCTCCCCATTAGACTGGGGCAACTCCGTGGCTTTAGCGGAGGTTGCAGGCTGGACTAAGGAGCAGAGAGAGATCCTGTCCTCTCACGGTCTTACCTCCCTAAACCTGACTAGGGTGAGGGGCCTGAATCCTTAAGCAATACACCTGAAATTGCAGTGAATTGAAATGAACTAAATCTGCAACCTAGAAAGAAATGAAGTGGAGAGATAAATTATGCCCATGGATTAGAACACTCAATAATGTTGAGATGCCAGTACTCTCCAAACTGCTCTGCTGTTTCAATATGATGCCAATAGATATCTCTGTGAGCTTTTTTTCTTTCTTTTTTGGTAGAAGTTAACAAGCTGACTCTAAAATGCAAAAGATATAAGACTGTAAAAGACAACCTTAAATAATAAGAACTAAATTAGCAGTCTTACACTACTAGATTTATAAGTCCTATAAATCCAAGATGTTAATACTGTATTATGGAAGACTAGGTCGTTGATCATTAACACACACACACACAAAAACACACACACAAAGCCTAAGGGAGAAGACTCGGGTGGTGGCCAGGTTAATTGGAGTAGCAACTTTAACTCACCTCATAGGTGGGGGTGGGGGGCAGGTGGGTGGGGGATGGTGGAGTGGGGGGCTTTCCTGTTGGAGTACGGGGCCTCTCCTCTAGCACAGAAGTCCAGTCCCTAGATGGAGGGGGTGTGTTTCCAGCCCTACACTTAGTATCACTGCAGCATGCGATATAAGAGTATGCGGTTCAGATCCTTGTTACTATATACATACCCTCAAAAGGAGCTCTGGGGTGGTGTTTCTCTCTGTTGTTTAAATAAAGAAAAAGATTTACCATTGATTAAATACACTAAAAATAGCTGTCTGCAGCCTTTTTATCATTTGGTCGTCAGACAGATTAATGCTGTTCAGCCCTGTAAGATAACATCTCCTGGTTCCTCAATACAAACTACTGAAATGCTGAAGGCTCCTAGATAGTCCACAGTATTCAGACTTAGGTGAAAACATAAATGAAAATAAAGAACACACAGTGTAACACAAGGGAACTCAATTTCATTTACATGACCCATTCTCTTTTCTGTCCGTACACTCCCTTCCTTAGTTGTGAAGCCCTTAGGACATTGGATTCTGGGCAGCATCAAACTGTCTTAAGAACAAGCCTCAGTCAGGTCTGTTGACCACAGAAACAGAGTTTCAGTCAAGCTAAAGGTAACATCTTGACTTCAGCTGTGTGTCAGATGCACCTTGAAGGCAGGATGACTCTAGGGACCACAACCTCAGGAAGCCAGACGAAATGCTGCCGTGGCTGACATCAGCACCAGGCGCACCAACTGTCTACTCCCTAAGCTGCCCCAGTCCGTCAGTAGCGCCTGCGACCCCACCTCTGGTAGACACAGTGGTTAATGAATGATTCCCACCCCCACCCCCACTGTGTAATCCATCCCCCGAAAGCCACCAGGGAGCTAGGTCTTTGAACATTAGCTTGCATGTGACTCCAGATTTGGCACCATTTCCTCAAATAACAAACCCATACTTTCCTGGCTGCAAACTTCTGTTTGTGTTTTACTGGGCTTTGATGTGAGCAGGCAAATGGACCCCTTTAGTCCAGTAGCACCAGGACACTCATGTGCTCCAGGCTTTACTTAAATTAACTTATTTAATACTCACCAGCACCTAAGGAAAAGGCACCACTATGATTCCTGTTTTAGAGATAAAGTGATTAAAAGAACTCTTCTTAGAACATAGTAGGAAGTGGGAGCAGAAGCAGAGAATTTTGCTTAACCTCACACAGGATTTTAGCATCATTTGTTCACAAGAAGCCTGGTTTTTATTAGAATAATTCTTCTTGGGTGTGACGTTTGAGGCTTGGTTTTTCTTTTTCAGCCTTCCAATCGTTATCTGGCGGGAATTCGCAAGGACTAGCTATCCTAATTAGGGTTAACACAATATGTCTGGGCTTCCAGACACATAAAATAACTTATTTCTCTTAACATTCATCTTGTTCCATGATGAAACCTGACTAGAATGTCAGAATGTATGTGTATTTATATTATCTCACCTTAATCAGATATATCCCTTTGTGTCTGGAACCAGTTTGGTGGCCTTCTGACAGCTATATATATATAGTATCATCAGTGGACATAATAAAAGGAGTTTGTAGGGAACACTTTGTGAAATATATGATTGTCTAATCACTATGCTGTACACCTGAAACTAATACAAACTATTATTGGAAATAAATAAGTGAATAAGAGGTTGTAAATCCAGGGTTTGCAATGGCTTTGCCAGTAATTCAGCCACAGTAAATAAGAATGGGAAAGATTGATTCTTTATTGGCTATTTTTTCCCTAGAAATTGCTACCTGAAAGTGGTCAAATTAACTCACTACCATCCAATATTACTGTGGTGTTTCTAAGTGGAATAACTTGCTACATCATCATTTTAAGGATCAGGGTTTGGACAATTTAATAATTAGCCCTTTAAAAATATGCCTATGGATTTTTTAGAGGAAGGAATGGAGAGACAGAAACACTACTTGGATGCCTCCTATACATACCCCAACGGGGGAATCAAACTCACAATCTAGGCATGTACCCTGACTGGGAATTGAACCCCCAAACTTTTGGTGTGTAGGACAATGCTCTAACCAACTGAGCCACACAAGCTAGGGGTAACAAACCCCTCTTTATGTAACTTTAATGCCCGAGAAAGACATTAAAGAAAATGATCAGCCCTCTCAACTTTACATCAAATGTTGATACTTTTGTTTCTAGTCTAATTACACACAACTGGATAGACAAAATTAGGCAAAATCGGGGTCCTGCAGTTAATATGGTGTGTGACTCTCTGATTACATGTTTAGTTAAAATTATTTCAAGAATTTGCTTAAAACTTCACCTGGGAGCTCTTTTTCCTCTAATATAGACAAGCTAAAAGTAGCTTTAACTGGCCTATGACTAGAAAATCATATAAAGGTAGTACTACCCTTTGCTTTAATAAAAATGTCTTGGAAACAATAAAGTCCCTTGAAAAAATGTTGTTTCCTTTCAATTAATACCAAGCTGAAGTTCTGCATAAACTTCTGCATAAAGTTCTGCATAGACATCGGTGGAAAATGCTGTATAAACAAGCAACTTGAAGGTGTACTTCCACCCGCACTGTGGCCAAATTATTGATCTGAAATAGCTTCTCAGGGCTTGTTTCCCTTCAATGGACTCAATAGTTGCATCTTATCTGTTTTAAAAAATGCTTCACCCTCAACTCCTTACCCCTACCATCAAACTATAGATCTAGTGACTCATTAACAAAGCCTTTTTTCCCCTTTGTTCTCCTGTTTTTAGAATTTGGTTTTTCAAAATGTTACTTGTATAGTGAGCAGGAGAGTCTTGGACACTATTTCACTATTAATCACTGACATACTTTCTCATATCAGCAGAAAATTAGAATGTAAACTTTTAATGAAACTCACTTTTTTATCCATGGGCCAAAATAATTTTTAAAATAACAGAGCACTCATTTTTCCATCTGTGTATTCAGTACCTAAACATGCATGTATGAGCAACCCTAGAAGCCAGCACTTCAGATACTTGCCAGAATACCAATCAGCACTTTATTCTGTGCCAGCACTTGCTAGCACCTCAGTTCAGCCACACCATAGTTGTGAACAATGGCTAATGGATGTTAAGTATTTCTGTAGATCCTTTGAGTTCTACCTCCATATTTTCAGGAAACAACTTACCTAGAAACTATGATCATAATTAAACACCATGCCATTGGCTTTCTAAATAGAGTTACAATAAAAGAAACAATAATTTGAAAGATATTTCTGGATCTTCTACAAAACTATAGTCAAAGATATGTCTATTAAGTTGCTTATATAAAGATATACCTAGTAAACTTTCCTACTATAGGGTGCCAGAGAATCATAAATGCTGCCTTTCATCGAAGCAAGGGGACTGTATACCTTTATGTTCTCTTTGGTTCTGACTTCTAGAAAGCTTGGATTTAAGTTAGACCTTTACTCTAGGTTCTTGACACAAAAAGCACCCAATGAATCCACTTGTTTCCTTAAACTCAGCTCTGCAGCATCTCTCTCCCTGACCCTCCCTGCCCTCCAGCGATTCTCCAGGCCAGGGTTTCCCCCCAGCTACATCCTTCCTCCATCTGCAAGTTGTTGGGGGTAACACGAAATGTTCTGATGGAAATGAGTTGTGCATGTGGTCAGTGTTTTTTGACCATCTGTTTAATATGCATTTTGACATCGCGGGCTGTGTTTCTGTGTAAATACTGTTTCTGTTTGGCTACGGCAGCTAGGGAGAGGAGTGCTGTTTGTCTGGTTAAAGCAGCGCTTTTCTGTTTATTCTGGCCTAACCCTGTTTATTAGTCACTCTCTAAAACAAAAGTCTGATTCCGCACTTCTTGCTCCCTCGAAAGACTACCCCTCTCTCCCTCTGGAGCAGCAATGAATTAATCCTCAACTTCTCTTTACTTTCTCCTATCTTCTTAACTCAAAACACTTTAAGGGAGGCATAGGGAGGGGCAGATGCTGAACTGAACCTTCACTTCCACTTCAGAATTTCAAACCACATCTCAATTTTGCTGGTAGCATATAGGGTAAATGAGCACACAATTGTGTTTTCTATCATCATCACGTTTAACCTGAAGAAATGATATTTCAAGTGATGTTTAAAATCCATGGATGACACGGGCCTTGCCCAGCATGACAATTTCTTGGCGGTGGAGTGCTGGTCTGGGCTTGCCTAGTGGGTTAACATGAGGGAGAGAGAATTCAGACTTTTTTTTCACCTTTGAACTGTGCTCATAAACAGCCTGGTTTCACTTGGAAGGTCTCTGTCTGGCTCCAGAGTCCTCTACAGGGCCCTGGACTTCCTTCTCTTGGGTCCATAGCAACCCCAAACAGAAGGCCTCTCTCTCCCTCCTTCCTCTTCTCCCTTGCATGTCCAAGTACCAAAATCCTGATCATACCCTGTAACTATCTCTGGGTTTTGTCCCTTTCTCCTCATTCCCCCAAGTCCGGTCTTAGCTGAGGCCTTATTCTTTCTCCTGGGCTACTGCAGGTGCTTCAGACCTCATCACTCTTAAGACCTGTCAAATCCATTCTCCAACAGTTGTTCCAGATCTGGGGGCTCCCAGCGCCCTGCTCTGTAACAGTTGTTTGTGCACAGGGCTGCCTGTGGACCCGGCCCTGCCTGTCCCCCCACTCTCTGTACTCATCTGGGTGGCCCCAAGCAGCTGCAGGTCCCCAGCACATCTCAAGCACGCACCAAGCAGTTCCGCCTCTGGCAGATTCGCTCCACCAGTCAGGATTGACCCTCTCCAAGAAGCCCTTCCTGATGCTCCCCAACCCTCTACAAGACTGATCTACATGTCCCTTTATGCTCCCTTAGCTCCGCGTCCTGCCGTGCCCGTCCTGGCCTCCGCAGGTATGTGTACAATTTGGGGAGGGGACTGTGTCATAATCATCTTTGTAGTCCCGGCCCAGCCCAACAGTAGTGCCCCCTAAACCTGGAAAAGCTCTCCCCGCAAAGTTGCTGGAAGCCCATCATCGGTGTGTCTTTAACCCCTGGGGGTAGAGAGGGTGATCTGGACGGAGACATGGTGACCGGGGAGCCTCCATAGCATGGGGAGTCACTGCCTGCCTAGTCAGGCCTCACGGCTCTAGTGCCCAGTGGCAGGGTATCCCAGCCAGCGGGACCTGGCGCTCTGCTCATGGTCACGTGGTCTGAGCACCGCACCACTCACCCCCCGCCCCACCCCGCACCGCAAAGCACGCTGGGCCAGGCGCTTGCACGCGGTCGTCATGACAACACTGCCCCTGCACCCCACAGGGTCTGAGAAGAATGTGGCGCAACAAGGGGAAGACCACTGGTGCCAGGACCCCGTTACCCCCTGAGGCCCCCACAACAAGCCGTACTCCTACTCCGGCTAGGGCCCAGGCGGTCGGTAGCGGTAAGAAATAGGGTATCCTTCATCATCCGAAATGCGCAAGGGGCGGGGGAGCCTGAACTTCGGGGTGGCACCTGCCCATTACTGAGAGCAGGGTGCGGCCCGAGGCTGCGAGATGGGAGGGTGCTTCGGGAACCCCAACTGTGGCGGGAACTTTGGGGTTCCTCCAAACGCGGACAGGAGGGGGGCCTCAAGCCCCCGCGGTGGGTCTGCCCTTCGCGCCATAGATGTCCTAAAGGAAGGCGAGTCTGTCCGTCTGTCGCTTTGCTGTTAAAGATCTCTGGGTGGAGCAGGGCGGGTGAGTGTGTGTGTGTGTGTGTGTGTGTGTGACTGGGTGCTCTTCTCCTGCCCCTCTTTTGTGGAATCGCCAGAGAGCAGGGCCCAGGTGCCTAAGAGACTCTTGAGACCGTTCTGATGTTGCACCTGTATGCCACCTACATTTTGAATATTTCTGCGCCCATGAATTATTTTTAGCAAAATAAGCACGCTCCCTCCCCCACAAAGTTTACATTTCGGATGCTTGTTTTAAAGCCTGTGCTTGTTCGTTTGGAACTGTGCTAGAAGTCTTACATGAGACAGGCATTGTTATGCTCTGACTTGAGCATAAAAAGGAAATTTGGGCTTGAGAATTTAAGTCACTTGTTAAAACTAGGTCGGCACCTAAGTCTGACTGCCCTTGACCCTTGAGTTTCCCAGTGCTTGGCTGTTGGCTGTTCAGACTAGGAGGGCAGGAACCACCTCCAAATGAGATCTTTCTCTAGAAATTCTAAAATGTGCAGCTAAGTGGAAATTGTTTGGAATTCAATGCTTAGGTAGGCGAGGATGAAAAGTGAAATTTAGGTTAGATTCCTGACATTTTCCTACGTGGCTTGTTATTCCTAGTTTTTGCTTTACAATCTTGAGGACTGATTTACTATTTTTTTATACAGTATAGGAAATAAATTATTGGTGCCATAATATCCTGACACACACACTGCATAGGGGAATTTTAAATGAAAGATAGTAGCAAAAATATATAACAGAGATGTTTAAATACTTAAATCTATGGCCAGTTAATTAAATAAACATGCTTGTAATCTTAGATTCCTTCATTCACACACACAAAAAACGAGTTTAAGTCTGATACATTTCTTCATGACCTGGGCATGGTACAGCCAGCCAAAGGCCGGCACGACCCTCAGATCCTCAGGGCAGTCCTCTCCAAATGTTAATACTAAGGAAGGCAGTAGCCACGAGGGAGGAAAGAAGCCCAGTGGAGCTCAGCTCCAACATGTAAATCCGTTTGAGATCTCCTTGCTTTGTTTCCTGTCCAGGATGTGAATGACATTTTCTAGATTGCAAGTGAACCATGGTCACATGTGTCCGGGCAGTGGAGCATTTTTATCCTTCCCTCCAGGCTCAACAGCTTGAAGAGTCTTTGTGTATCTGAGTGTTTTAAATGTCCTGATGAGTGTAGGTTAGAGTCTGTTTGGCTTTCTCGAATTCAGCACTTTTCAAACTTATTTGACCATAAAACCCATTGTAATTAGAACATCTTGATTGATCATCTTATAGAAGATTGGTATTCTGCAAAACATAGTTTAGGAAATACTGTCCTAAAATATTATTTAAATAGAGGAAAATTTCCTAGAATAGGTGAAGGATTTCTTATGTACATCTATCCACAAGACAGAGATTATGCTGACATTAAACATTTTCAGAGAATATCTAACAACGAGGGAAAGCTATGTACAATATGTTAATTGAAAACAAAAGGCTATAGAACTATATTTAAATGTTCCAATTTTATTTAATAATACATGTAAAAGAGCACTGGCTAGTGTAGCTCAGTGGATTGAGTACGGGCTGTGAACCAAAGGGCTGCTGTTTCTATTCCCAGTCAGGGCACATGCCTGGGTTGCAGGCCAGGTCCCTAGTGGGTGCCACATGAGAGGCCACCACACATGATGTTTCTCTTCCTCTCTTTCTCTTTCCCTTCCCCTCTCTCTAAACATAAATAAATAAAATATTTTAAAAAATGAAAAATAAAAATACATGTAAAATAAAACAATAGAGAAGAAATGGCCCCAGACCTCAATTGTGGTGGTTGTTTGGCAGTGGGATTGCTGATAAATGTTTATTTCTTTTTGAATAATTTTTTGTGTTTTAATTACAGTCAACATACAATATTATGTTAGTTTCAGATGTACACCCAGTGATCAGTTATTTTTATAATTTACAAAATGATCACCCAATATTTTTCCAGTACTCACCTGGCACCATAACATAGTTATTACAGTATTATCGACTATACTTCCCTATGCTGTGCTTAATGTCCTCATGACTAGTTTGTAACTGCCGTTTGTGATTCTTAATCCCTTCACCTTTTTTCACCCAGCCCCCTCCCCACCTCCCTTCTGGCAACTGTCAAAGTGTTCTCTGTATCTTTAAGTCTGTTTCTGTTTTGTTTGTTCACTTATATAGTTATTTAGATCCCTCATATAAGTGAAATCATATGGTATTTGCCTTTCTCTCTCTGACTTATTTTTTTTACTTAGCACAATACCCTTTTGGTCCATACATGTTGTAGCAGATGGCAAGATTTCATTCTTTTTTATGGCCAGTAATATCTCATTGTATATATGTACTATTTCTTTTTTATCTGTTTATCTATTGATGGGCACTTAGTTTGCTTCCATATCTTGGCTATTGTAAATAATGCTGCAATGAATGTACAGATGCAGGTGTCTTTTTAAATTAGTGTTTTGGGTTTCTTTGTATTAATGCCCAGAAGTGGAATTTCTGGGTCCTTTTTTGTCTCTTGTTATATAGCCTTTGATTAAAGTCTATTTGTCTGATATAAGTGTTGCTACCCAAGCTTATTTTTCATTTCCATTTTCATGAAATATCTTTTTCCATCCCTTTACTTCCAGTCTGTGTGTCTTGTGATTTGAAGTGAATCTCTTGGAGAAAGCATATGCATGGGTCTTATTTTTTTATCCATTCAGGTACCCTGTGTCTTTTGATTGGAGCATTTAATCCATTTGTATTTAAAGTAATTATTGATGGATAGGTATTTATTGCCATTTTATTATTCATATTTTTAATCTTTTCCCCTTTCTTAAAGAGGACACTTTTTTATTGTAATACTAGTTTGATGGCAATGAACTCCTTTAGCTTTTTATTGTCTGGGAAGCTCTTTATCTGTCCTTTGGTTTTAAACGATAGCTTTGCTGGGTAGAGTAATCTTGGCTGTAGGTCCCTGCTTTTCATCATTTTGAATATTTCTTGCCAATCCCTTGTAGCCTCAAAATTTCTGTTGAGAAATCAACTGACAGTCTTCTGGGAGCTCCCTTGTAGGTAACTAACTGCTTTTCTCTTGCTTCCTTTAAAATTCTTTCTTTGTCTTTAACTTTTGCCATTTTTATTATGTCTTGATGTGGGCCTCTTTGGATTCATGTTGTTTGGGACTCTCTGCACTTCCTGGACTTGTATGTCTATGTTCTTCACCAAGTTAGGGTAGTTTTCAGTCATTTTTTCAAACAGGTGTTCAATTCCTTGCTCTTTCTCTCTTTCTGGTGTCAAAACATATGAATGTTTTTATACTTGATATTGTCCCAGAGGCCCCTCATATTTTTGGATTCCTATTTCTTTTTGCTGTTCTGATTGGGTGTTTTCTACTACCTGACCTTCAAAATCGCTGATTTGATCCTCTACTTCCTCTAATCTACTGTTGATTCCTACTAGTAGAGACTTCATTTCAGTTATTGTATTCTTCATTTCTGACTGGTCCTCTTTTATGTTTTCTATCTACATTTTTATGTTTCCCATCTCTTTGTTAAAGTTCTCATTGAGCTGATCTCTTCTTCTTGTAAGTTCATTGAGCTTATAACCAGTGTTTTGAACTCCATATCTAGTAGATTGCTTTTCTCCATTTTGTTTAGTTCTTTTTCTGGAGCTTTTTCCTGTTTTTCACTTGGGACATGTTTCTTCATCTCCTCATTTTGGCTGCCTCCCTCTGTTTGGTTCTATGTATTAGGTAGAGCAGCTATGTCTCCTTGTCTTGGTAAAATGGCCTTATGTGGTAGGTGTCCTGTGGGGCCCAGTGGTGCAGCCTCCCCACCAGTCACCTGAGAAGGGTGCTTCAGATGTGCCCCTCCCCATGTGGGCTGTGTGCACCCTCCTGTTGTAGTTGAGTCTTGACTGCAGTTGGCATGTCAGTGGGAGGATTGACCCCCTAAGCTGATTGGCTTCTTTGAGGATCTGCTGTGACTACAGCAGAGGAGCTGCTGTTCAGGGGCCAGTCTCTTGGAGCAGGACTCACTTCATTGGGGCTCTGGTGTTTGCTGAGTCCACCTCATGAGTGTGTGGCTTGGAGAGTGGTTGGGTGGTTCTGTAGCATGGTATGACGCTATCCTGGGTGTGCTGGCTCCGGAGCCTCCTTGGAGGTGCAGTCCAAGGTCAGCTGCCAGTTGTTCTTTGCCCAGGTGAGATACAAAGTGATATGCAGGTGGATGCCACTTGTGCTGGGCTGGGGAGGTACCTGGAAGAGACTAAGCTGCAAACTGAGCCTGGCCATCCCTAGTACTGGGCCTGGGTCTGCTTAGCAAGAGGTAGGGGCAAACCAAGGGCAGATGCTTCTTGTCTGGGGTTTATGGATCTTTCAGAGATTTTAGGGAAGTCAGAAGCATGAGCCAAAACAGGGCATTTGTATGGAAGGAAACCCACTTGAAGTGGGTTGGTTGGGCCTGAAAATTAGGTGGGGCGAGGTCTCAGGGCAGGGCACAGGCGTTAGCCAGGTTGATGGAGACTCAGCTATGGCACCCTTCTGAGCCTTCAAGGGGAGGGCTCAGCAAAGGCACAGTGCTTCTGTCAGGGAGGAAGCTGTCCCTACAGCCCTGGTCCTGGTGCCAGACAATTTAGTTCCTCCCCATGTACTCCTGGTGCCTTTGGAGCTGCCACCCCAGAGCAAGTGAGTCTGTCAGCATGTCTGTGCTTGGGCCCTTTAAGATGAACACCCGGGATGCCAGCGACTCAGCTGCAACCTTTGCTGGTTTCCACAGACAGAAATCACAGAGACTTCCCATTCTGGCACTGGAACCCTGGGCTGGGGATCCTGGTGTGGGACTGGGACCCCGTGCTGCTCGCAGGGGACGTCCTCAGCTAAGATACCCCTCCCAGTTAACTGTCACATGTGGGTGTGGGACCTGCCAGTTTGTGTCTCTGCTCTTCCTTCCAGTCTTGACATAGCTTCTTCTGTATGTCCTTAGTTACTGTTCAGCTAGATTTCAGGCAGTTCTCGCTGATGGTGGTTCTGTAGTTTAGTTGTAATTTTGATGTGGTTGGGGCAGAGGTGAGTACCGAGTTTACCTGTGCCGCCATCTTGACCAGGGCTCTGTTTCTTTTTGATGTTGAAATTGCCAAGTTGATGTGCAGGTTATTGATTTATTTTTAAAACTAATTTTTAAAAAACTTTAAGAAAAATTTATTTGCTTTGGTTTTTAATTTAATTGTCATCTTAAATCTTTTTTTTAAGATTTTATTCATTTATTTTTAGAGAGGGAAGGGAGGGAGAAAGAGAGAGAGAGAGAAATATCAATGTGCAGTTGCTGGGGACCGTGGCCTGCAACCCAGGCATGTGCCCTGACTGGGAATCGAACCTGCAATGCTTTGGTTCGCAGCCCACACTCAATCCACTGAGCTACACCAGCCAGGGCATCATCTTAAATCTTGTTTTGCAAATTTGTTTAGCAAACTCTTTAATTCACATAGTGCAGAGTCCACTCAGCAAAGGACATCTTTGAGATGAAGAGACTTAGAGAAGCTGGCTCCTAAAAACACCAGCCTCGCTGAGTAGTGAGATCTCTGAGCACAGACTTTTAAAAGAGATTTTACACAAAAGGTAGGACAGGAAACAAAGACAGTGACAGGTACTTCCACCCCAGAAGGCCTAAACCTTGAAAAAAGATGCTTTTAAAGTAATATCCAAAACACGAAGACCATAATGGAAAGGTGTAGGTATAACAGAGGAAGGAGATCTCAACTACTGCTTCATTTCTGTCTTCTTTATTAAGAACTGAGTGGGGTGGGGGTGGGGGGAATCACCTTAGAAAGAGGAAATGGAAGGCAGGGTAGGCAAAGAGCTTCTTTCTATGAGTCCGCCTCCATGTAGCATTCAGAACCGACAGAGCCTTGTTCAAAGATGGCATCAACTTGCATGGTGTGAGGGTATCCAAGAAGCTTAAGGGACCTGGTGATTTTTCAGATCCCTTTAGAATTTGGATTCTCTGATAAAACTGTCTATTTGAAGCCATCATAAGAAACCTAGAGTTGCCTTAACCCAGTATGGCAGAGTGGAAAGCAGCTTTGGAGCCAGTTTGATTCTCTACCCTGCCCTTATTAACTGCATGACTTGGGACAGAATATTTTGTTCCTCTGATAGCATTTTCCCCAGCTATCAGCCGTGGTACCTATGGAGGTTAGTTCTCCTTTCATGTCGCTGTCAAGTCAGTGTCTGCCCCCCTCAGGGGGGGTTTCTATGGCCCCGGTTCTCCAGACAGCATTTGTATGCTCTCCCATCCCTGACATCTATGTCTTTCCTCTTTCTGTGTTCTTAATTCTTTCTCCTTCTCTTTCCCACCCACTCTGTACACACACATTCATATCTTTGAAAGAAGTGTATTTTTTGGGGGGGGAGGGGCTCTTGGAATAATTTATATATGATGAAGGGTAATCATAATGCATTTATTTTTCAAAAGCTCCAGAACCTGTTGACAGTCTCCAGAAATATTATAATAATCTGTGTTTGAAAAAGTCCCAGAAAGTTAACCCTTTTCTATTGCATATACTCCAAGGAGTGGATGAAGAAATCAGAAAGGGGTAAGGACAGCAAATACCTGATTATATCAATAATATTCCCTGATATTCATCTGTGTGAAAACCCTGAAATACTGAGTAGACTCAAAGCCATTTGCACATGCTTGGTAAAATGGGCAGACCTCTTGATTCAGAGGAATAGTTGACTGACGCTGTCCATGGTCTCGGAGGTAGTGCGTGTGGTCTGCTGGGAGCAGCGCCAGACCAGCAGGCTCCAAATCTGGGCTCCAGATGCGTCCCTAACTCCTGTGAGCTGTTTGTTTATACAAATCATCAAAGTCTTCAGTGTTGTTATGTATCAAGTGGGGAAACTTTTGTGTGTGTGAGAGAGAAATTATTGGCTTGGCCAAAAAGTCTATTTAGTTTTTTCTGTAAAATAAGAGACACATTTTTCATTTTTACCAATAACTGTATTGATTTGGATATTTTGAGTATGTTGGCTATCTCCTGCTATTGGCTTCTAGTGGGTAGAGACCAGTGGTGCTGCTAAATCTTCCAATGCATAAAACATCCCCACAGCAAAGAATTATTTGTCCAAAATGTCAGTAGTACCAAGAAACTTCAAAAACCACTTTGACACATTCTGTCAGTCACAGCACCTTCTCCATACAGTGCACAAATCTTTTTTTGCATTTCAGTTGTGTTTTTACCTTTCTTGAAATAATAAAGCATAATAGCCAGAAATGTTGCATATTTTCTTCCATCTCCAATATTAAAATGCTGTACAAAAATTCACCAATTTTGATGTTTTTTTTAATGCATGCTGATATGACAGCTGTCACAATACAACCTAACAAAATTGTTTCGAATGAAGTTAAAGACAGCTAAGCACTGCTAGAGCCACCATATGGGAAAAAAACTAAAGGGACTTTTTGGCCAACCCAATAGGTTATATAGTATATATTAAAGTGCTGTGGAAAATTTAGTAGTTTTAAGTTACTTGTTGTAAATTTATATCATAGTACATATGTGGTTCTGATAAATACTGTCCATGGTATTACTATTTACATGTAAAAAATACTTTTATTTCTTTACTGAGTTTCTTATTTGTATTTTAACAGCTTGAAAGAAATCACATTAAACATTGCTGGTAACAATCACTCAGTGCCAGTGGAAAGAGTAACAGGTGAACATTTTTGGATCCTTTCCAAAATTTTAGAGAAGAATCCTTGTATTAATGGTATGTCTCCTTAAAAATCATTACTCATGCATTTATTTTCCTGACTTTAAGTGTTCATTATTAGGAACATCAGCTTCTATTCATCTGTGTCCTTCAGGTTTGGACGTTAGATATAACCTCATAAGTGATGTTGGTGCATACTATGCTGCAAGACTGCTTCAGGTATTATTTTACTACAAAACGTTTTATGTCTTTTCTTCCAGAGGCCAATTAAGAACCAGTCCTTTCTTTGGAATGTGCAGAGTTTGAGCATGCTAAGCCTGTAAATTAGCCCTTTAGTGCAGATTCACTTTGGAGACACTCAAACTGAAATGCTGCATATGGTTGCATTTTATCTAAGAAAGGCAGTGTGGTCCCCTAATTAGAGAAGGTGTACTTAAAAAAAAAAAGGCTTCGGTTCAGCCTCAGATCAGCACATATGTGTTTGCCTCTTTCTTAGATAAAAGAAAGACTTAAAGCAGCATATATCATTTTTTGATTCTTCTCTTACATTGGCTTTTTAATGTTATAACTACTTATCCCAACCTCATCTTCTAAAAGTGCTTTTAATGAATTAAAAATGGCACACAGTGTATGGGCAGAGTGAAAATTAAAAGATGAAGAGACGTTATTCTCAGCAATCACAAATGAAAGTGCTACAAAATCATCAACATGTTCTTCATTCTGTTTCCTGTGAAACCGCTAAGTGTGATGGCATGCACAAAACACTAGTTTTGCAAAACGTCAGTTCCTGACTATGGTATATTTACAATGCTTGAAATATATTGGAAAACACATTGTGCATTTGGCCTCAGCGGAGCCAGGAACTGGAGCTCCAGAGTCACCTTCCCCAGACTTGCTGTGCACTGCAGTTAAATGCATGGAGCGCATCCACATTTGAGTCATTGGTCTGAGCTGAGGATAGTCTTTTTCTTTTACTTACATTGCAATTATATTTATGTTTAAATGAGAATAGTGATTTCCCCCCCCTTAGTTGTAGTTTCTTTTGCTAGACTTGCATATTTTCTGATTTATAAATATTTTCTTTCGAGGTAAATACTTTTACTTAAGTAAAACAGCTCATACCTTATTGATTTCTCATAACACATGTGTAATGGCATCTTTTCTCTCCTTACGACAGAAACAACACAGTCTCCTTTACTTAAACCTCATGTTTAATGATATTGGGCCCAAAGGTGGAGAACTGATTGCTAAAGCACTGCACGTATGTACTTAGGTGCCTCAAACTAACACTGTATGTGGGACCTTTAACTTCTCATATCTTGGAACCAGCAGAATCAAATGGTAATGTGATTACCATTATTTTAATATTGTGGGAATGTATATTTTTCATTACACTTCGATTTACTAAAATGTGAACATTATATGAGCACTTTTGAACTCATTTAAAAATAAATAGCTTAAAATATAATTTGCATACCTAAGATTTACCCTTTTAAAGTGTTCAGTTCAGTTTTTTTTCCAGTTCAGTCACAGAGTGGGGCCATGGTCACCACTGTCACTGCTTCACACCACTGTCGCCCCAAGAAGCCCTGTGCTCGTTAGCTGCCCTTCTCCATTCCTTTTTCCCCACCCACCAGCCCCCGACCTGCTTTCCCTCTGCAGCTTGCCTGTTCTGGATAAATGGAATCACACAATACGTGGCCTTTTGTGATTGGCATATTGTTTTCAAGGTTTGTTCTTTTTATTGCCAAATAATATTCCATTGCATGGCTATATCACATTTTGTTCATCCACCTGCTGATGGACATCTGGGTTTCAATTTTTGTCTCTAATGAATAATGTTACTGTGGATGTTTGTGCACATTTTGTGTACACTTGTTTTTATTTTTCGTGGGTATTTACCTAGGAGTGGAATTGCTGGATCATTTAATACTTTGAGGACCTGCCAGGCTCTTTTTCAAAGTGGCTGTCCCTTTTTATAGTTTCATTGCCAGTATATGAATGTTCCAGTTTCTCACCAGCATTTGTTACTATCTTCCTGATTTCAGCCATCCCAGGGAGTATGAGGAGGTCTGTGGTTGTTCTGAATTACATTTCTCTAATAAATAGTGGCGTTGAGCCTCTTCACGTTGTACACTGTGCACTTTTTAGCCATTTGTGCATCTTCTTTGGAGAAATGTTTATTTAAATTCTTTGCCTGTTTTAAAATTGGGTTGTTTGTCCTTTTGAGTTGTACGAGTTCTTTATATATTCTGGATACAAAATCAAATAAATATCAAATATTAACCAAATAAATATTTTGCAAATATTTTTTTCATTCTGTAGTTTGCCTTTTCACTTCCTTAATGGTGTTCTTGAAGGATAATATTTTAAAATTTTGATTAAGTTCATCTATTTTTTCTCATGTTGTTTGTACTTTTGGTGTTATATCTAAGAAGGCTTTGCCTAACTCAGTAACAAAGACTCATACTTATTTTCCTCTAACAATACTATATTTTAGCTTTTTCATTTGGTTCTTTGATCCATTTTGAGTTGAGTTTTGCTGTGTGATCGGAGCCAGAAGTCTGACTTCATTCGTTTGCCTGTGGACATACCCGGTCGTTCCGACGCAGTTTGTTAGATGTCCTTCTGCCACTGAGGTTTCCTGACACCCTTGTTGAAAATCAGTTGATTATAAATGTGAACTCTCTATTCTGTTCTTTTGTTTCTGTACTCTCTATTCTGTTCTTTTAATCCGCATGCCTGTCCTTGGGCCACGCCCACGTTGTCACGACTACTGTAGTATTGCAGCAAGTTTTGAAGTCCGAGAGTGTGAGTTCTTCGTTCCTTTTTCAAGACCCTGTTGGCTCTTCTGGGTCCCTTGCATTTCCATATGAATTTCAAGATCAGTTTTTCAATTTATGCAAGAGAAGCAGCTGGGATTTTGAGAAAAATTGCTTTAAAACTTCAGATTAATTTGGAGAGTATTGCCATCTTAATGATATTAAGTCTTCTGATCTTTGACTTTGGTATGTTTCCATTTATTTAAGTCTTCTTTAGTTTCTTTCAATGATGCTTTGTAGTTTCCAATGTGAAAGTCTTGCCCTTTTGTTCAATTTGTTCTTTTTGATGCTATTGTAAATGGAGCTTTCTTAATTTCATTTTTTGGATTGTTCACTGCTAGTGGGTAGAAATACTACTGCGTTTTACATATTGATCTGGTGTCCTGCAGCCCGGCTGAGCTTGTTTACTCTATCAGACTTTTGTGTGTGTGGGTTCCTTTGATGCGGCCCCTGGCTCATGGGGTCTGCCACATTGTGGATGAGACACGAGACATTCACACGGACTACCGAGTCCGGTAGAGGAAAAGGGACAGCATGGCTTTTCTCTCAAGGGGAGCAAAAGCCATGGCCTCCGGCATGACAGGCCTTTATTTCTTTTACTTGGCACTTTACATGATGGTCCTCATTTACTGTTCACAGGTTCGCTTTAGGTGGTTACCTTTTACATAAAACAAAGAAGACAATGCCACTAATCACATTACAGAAGAAGGATATTTGCAAATGCAAAGGGAAAGGTGGTTGAATTGGTTATACTCATCCTTGGAAGGTTTAGTATTGATTTTAGGAAGTTGCTTTGCAATAAATGTTTGCTGCCTCATTTCAGGGTGAGGGAGTTTTTTAGCAAGAGCAAGACTCAAAGCAGCCTAGGCACATTGCAGGCCTGATTCCCCACAGGAGAACCTATCTGTGGGCATGGGTCCTGTGCATCTCCGAGTGGGAGCTGGGCCCATGCCACACAGAACGGTCTCCTACATTCCTTAGGGTTTTCTACTTATAAGATCATATCACATGCAAACAGATAATTGTACTTCTTTTCCAATTTGGATGCCTTTTTGTTGTTGTTGTTGTTGTTTCTTTTTTCTTGCCTGATGGCCCTGTCTAGAACCTTCAGCACGATGTTAGAGTTGCTGAGTGGACATCCTTGCCTTCTCCCTGCTCTTAAGGGAGTTTAAATTAGTTTTAAAGATAATTGTTTGCACTTACATGTCCTGATATTTATATTTATTCATTGGGACAGTGACATGTCTGTACTTCTTTGTGAAAGATTTATCCAAAAAGTGAAATGAGAGAAGGCATTAAATTTTGCAAATGCCCAAGAACAGTATCTTTAAAAGTAACGCAGTGAAGCGACTGCACAGTGGGTACAGGGTCTCTTTTGGCAGAGGCGACGGTGTTTGCAACTGGCTGGAGATGAAGGCTGCACAATGCTGAAAGCCGGTGAGCTGCTAAAAGCCAGTGAATTGGTCACTTCTAAATGGTTAATTTTGTGTTATGTGAATTTTACCCCAATAACAAAGTGCTATGATTTTCTTAGAAGATAAATTTATAGATTTTCCAATGAAAGGAGAGTATAGTAAAAGTCTACTTCACTTAATGGGTCATTGTTTGGCATCTGCTTTCTTGGCATTTTCTCTGCTAAACTATTAAACTCGATTTTTACCTATTATGGAAAATTGAATGTTACCTTTAAGAAATACATCCTATTCTATCTCCATGAAAAACTGATGAGTCAAAAAGGAAGAAGGACTTATAGACATGTGTGGTGAGTGCAGTGGGAAGAGGCATAAAGGGACTAAATGGTAATGGAAAAATGCAACAAAAAATTTAACCAAGGGTTGATTGTTTTCCTTTTCAGACGAATACAACTCTGAAATACCTAAGAATGACTGGAAACAAGGTCGAAAATGAAGGTGGAATGTTTTTTGCTGCCATGCTACAAATTAATTCATCCTTAGAGAAGTTAGATCTGGGCGACTGCGATCTGGTGAGTGAATTGGTTATGAGGAGGTCACCCAGGTAATAGATCGTTTTCCTGGGAACCAGCACAGAGACCAGCTAAATGACACCATTATAAATGATTAGAGGGGGTGGGGGGCAGGGTAAGGGTGGAAAGAAGGGGGAGAGACTAGTCAAAGAGCATGTATGAATGGCCCACGGACATGGACAACAGTGTGGGAATTGACCGTGGGAGCGGGGGTGGGGTGGGATGGGCAGAGGAGGCAAAGAGGGAAAATTGGGACAACTGTAATAGAATAACAATGAAAAATGGTTAAAAAAAAGAAAAATTAGTGTGGTTTTGAAGATAAAATTGGTTTAGCATTCAGTTTCTTAAGTATGTATGAAAAAAGTAAACTTTTCTCAAAAACTACTAGAAATTATTATTCTATCTATAAAATTGTAAATGTAATGATATTATAATGATATTTTTGAAAAGAAAAAAAAATGGTTTGCCTTGCCCCTAATGTCTAGTAGAGAATGTCAGAGAAAAAGTTTTTTCTTCTTGGCATGATAGTGCTTACTTAATAAAATGATGGTAGTAAATAACATTATAGGAGAATTTCCAGAATAATAAAGATCTCACTAAACTTCTATCCATAACCCTTCTTAACCTGTATGGGATTTTAAAAGAAAAAGACCATGTTCAGTTTAATCAAACAAATACTACTTTATTAGTGTAATTTACATTTTTTGCTTTTGAAAAAATTTGGAAGTGGGCGGTTATACTGTAGCATAAACACCTAAACTGATGGTGCCAGAGCTGCTCTGGGCCTCCAACGGGCCTGGCAGTGAGAAGCCTGTTTTTTGCATGTCTTGAAATTCCAGGCTTCATTTTCTCAATGTGCTTTTAAACCAGACCTTGGGGACTAATGCTGGGAACCTGTTGTGCAGGGACATGGAAACAGTCAGATGGTCCAGGAGGCTCTTTGGGGCAATAGGTTCTGGGGCTTAAAACAGTAGTGGGTGCAGCCAGTATTGTCTCTGGGAGAGCATTAACTCAATGTATATTCTACATTGAGTTCTACACACACCAGCCACAACCCTAGATTCTTATAGGGATGTAAGAGTGCATTGGATATGATCTCTGCCCTTCTAAAACTTCTACTTAGTTGGGAAAATATCAATAAACAGAAAAAAATGCTATGAAGATAGCGACATAAGTACTCTTGATGATGGGGAGGAGGTAATTTGCATAATAGGGTCGTGGCCTAAGACCTGAGGAAGCAGTGTTTAGGAGTCAGGAAGGGTGAGAAAAACCTGCATGGGAGAGGGTCCATCTAGAACATTCCAGGCAAGGGGTCCAATACACAGACTCCGATAGTGCTTCTCCAAGTGTGGTATAGGTAGTATCACTGATACAGACTGAGGTAATTTTAATGCGCAGGTACATATTTTGCAGATGTTGTCTATTTACTTCAAGGGATTATGGTTTTCCATTCATAGTAGTGACACAGTGTTTTAAAATAAAGTGAAAAAGACTTCATGGAAAAGTATTAAATAGTAAAATGATGTTCAGATATGGCAAAAATCAGTTGGGAGCTACATGAATGATGAAATACCAAGTCCGGCAGGTTTTGAGAACTGGAAAGTCGGTGGCTGGACAGCGGGAGTTAGAACAGCACCCCACAGTGAAGGTGGAGAGGTTCGCAGCAGCCACATTCAGCAAAGGTGGTGTGGGCTGTGGGTGTAGGTCATGGGAAGGAGAGGGGACTTTATTATAAACACAAATCATGTGAAGCCCTTAAGTGGAGGGCTGACGTGATCTGACTGGTACTTTCCAAAGATCATTCCGGTTTCTCTGTGGGGAATTAGAGGCTTGCAAGAGGAGAAACCCACGGCCCACGTAGGAAGTTTCTGCAGGAGTCCCTGTGGGTGATGAGGACTGGGGGCAGGGGTAGCCACTGAGGTGAACTAATCTAAGACTTTTTTAGAGGCAGAATCTCTAAGGCTTACTGATTCACTAGATGGGAGGGCAGCAGGACTGGGGAGTGAGAGGAGGCCCAGGTTTTATGGCACAACTGCCAGGTGTGTGTGGTGGTTCCGTCACTGAGATGGGGAGAATTAGGCCCAGCCAGTACGGTAGAGAGGGAGGCCTCTGGGGTGGTGGGAATGCCACTAGGAACCCTATCCCGCCACACACACACTTTAAACCTATGGGTGTGAGTATAAAAGAATGCTGGCACAAGGATGTCTGTTCTCAGTAGGACGGAGCCCCAGCTGGGACCCACAGGTGTGTCTGTGTGTCTGAGGTCTGAGCCATACAGAACCTGGAGTGCTCGGGTGCAGGCCGAGGCAGATACCCTGGGACACGGGTACTGAAACTCCCCCATGCATGTTGTCAACAGGTGTCAGGACAGGTGCAGAGAGCGTAACAATCCATTTCTGAATTTGGTCAACCTAGAATTCAGGGAGCAGGAAATGCTTAAACTTTTTAAAAGCACAATTTGATTTATCAGATTCAATTACTAATCTTGCAATATTTATTTATAGGGAAATTATATACTTTGCCAGTTTCCTTAATGAATTCACCTGTTTTTAGGGAATGCAAAGTGTGATAGCATTTTCTACAGCTCTGACTCAAAACCAAACAATTAAAGGAATAAACCTAAACCGACCTCTACTGTATGGTGAACAGGTATGTATTCCAAATGATAGTAGTTATTACCACATGTGAACAAAACAAAGGTACTGCTTACTAAATGTTATGGCAACGTTCACAAATGCATTGTATTTTTAGAATTGTAAACTGTTTACAAAAAAGAAACTTTAAAGGAAAACTATTAATTCTGGATGAGAGTTTAAAACTAAATATGTTTTAAGCTTGCTTATTTAAGCTGTAGCATGCCATTTTTTTCTCTCATAAACTCAAATTCTCAATGAATAAACCTGTGAGAGGCAGAGAGTTATGATGAAGGAATAAAAGATTAAAAATGTTAAAGGCTATGTCAACAGCCAAGTGTGAACTGTTTTGTCATGTTGAAATCATGAGTAATAATGGCAACATGTGTGTGAATGGCAGTCCAGGAAGTCTGGACTTGACCCTGTACGCAAGCTGCGTCTAGGAGACGGAAAGAGGAGTAAAAGTGTGGTTCCTACTTTCAAACCTTCTCCTTGCTCCTTAACAACCTTGTAGGTGGCTTTCCTATCAGTTGTAAAGAGCCAGAGAATAAGAATTCATTGTACTGTTGATCTAAACAAAAACATCATCTACCAAAATAATGTTCAAAGTACTTTATATAGCCTTTAAATTATCTATTTCACTGTTCTCTATTAGTATGAGTCACTGAGAATTAACCATATTTTTAAAGTATTTTTCATATTCATGTGTTTTTGCATTCTTTGCCTACATGGATCTCTCTTTTGAATTATCTCTGCACTCTTCTGTATCAAAATTTTGGGAATTTTACATGTTAATTGCTTCATGTACATAAATCTAATCTGTTTAACAAGACATTCTGAGTCCTCAAATACAAGCACCCTTCTTTAAAGGCCAGCAAAATACCTGGCTCAAAGTAAGGATTCAGTGAATTGCTTCATTCGTGATTCATTCAGTTAATAAATATTTGAATGCAACCCTACATCAGACACAATGCTGAGTGTTAGAGATAAGAAGTCAACAAAGCACATAGCTGTTTGTCTTCAAGGAGCTTTCCATGTCCATGGAGTGAGATCAACTTTGGAGGGTGACATGCTCAGGGTGCCTTGGGAGCATGAGGAAGGGGGACAAGATGGTGGTGGGGGTGGGGACAAGAGGTGGCTGGGAAGGTTCTCGGATTGAGGACATGACAGATATGAAGGCTAAACATTTTCTGGATTAAAGCCCCAAAGAAATAAATATGTTAAACTGTTCAAAATAACAGAAGCACAATTCCTCTTTTAAGTATGTTGACTGGCGTCATTCATTACTCCCGAGAAGAGTTCTTGCAAGCCCAGGGCGCTTTCTCAGGCCCAGGCCCAGGCCCAGTCCCTCGCTCTCAGGAGCTCCAGCTCCATAAACTCAAGCCTGCTGTCTCTTCTTGTGCAAGATAGCCCCCACCCTCTCTGTCACCGAGTATTCTCTTAAACGGCTTGTGGAGCAGAATCCTCTTACGCCTTCTCATGCTATGCAGTTCTGAAATGTAAGTCTGCAAAATTATTCTGTTTTAAAGTTTTACTTTTCATTATTTCGGGAGCTTGGAAAAATATCGATGCCAGGTATCACCCTAGACAAATTAAATCACAAACTCAGTGAATGGGGCTAAAAAAACACCCTTTACTATTTCTGACACTGGTTTTCTCGTTCAAACTTCTCGACCTAAAAATGCAACTAAGGTGTTAAACACAATTTTTTTTTCTTTTTAAGTTTAATTGTTGTTCAAGTACAGTTTTCTGCCCTTTGTCCCCATCCCAGTCCACCCCCCAGCCCTCCCCTTCTCCCTCCCCTTCTCCCTCCTGTCTCCACCCCTCCCCCCTGTTATTGTCCATGTGTCCTTTATCTAGTTCCTGCACTTCCCCTTTCCCCTGAAATTCCCCCCCCTCCCCTCTCTGGTCACTGTCAGCCTGTTCTCAAAACACAAATATTTTTGAGTATGTCCTCCATTCCAGGCACCATCCAGAGCAGTACTGGATTTCCTGAATAGATTAGTTTGCATTTGTTAAGATCACAGACTACAGTTTCCCCTTGGGTATATGTTACCATTGTCAAAGCAGTAATTTAAACAAACCAGATGCAGGATTATAGAGTATTGAACAGTGATAAATGCTTTGTAGTTTTCTATAGAATTCATTTCGTGTAGGTACTTGAATTTTGTGTGGGAAGTATAATTTCACTTATTTTACGGAAAAGGAAAGATAAAATAATTTGCTCAGTTGTATAGCTAGCAAAAGCCAAATCTAGCATTTGGGTACTTTTATTATAAACCACAAGCACAATCTACTATTGCTGTGTGGTTTCATTTAACCTTTAAAGTTTGTTGTAGCCCTGGCTGGTGTGGCTTAGTGGATTGAGTGCCAGCCTGTGAACCAAAGGCTCACCGGTTCAATTCCCAGTTGGGGCATATGCCTGGGTTGCCAGCCAGAGCAACCACACATTGATGTTTCTCACTCTCCTCCCCTCTGTCTAAAAACAAAAACAAAAACAAAAACATTTTAAAGTTTATCTTAAAACTACTGTCTGGAGGCCTGTCCAGAAAGTATCCATCCATGTAAATAGTGATATTTATTGAAGAAGAGACGTTAAGAAACGTTGTACACAGGACAATGATGTCTCAGCCCCCTTCAAAGTAGGCACCTTGATACCTCACACAGTTCTCCAGATTGCCATCAGCTGCCCCATCCTATTTTCCTGAATCTCCTCAATGGTCTGAAAGCTTTACCCTTTCCAAGGTGGTTTTAGTTTTGAAAAAAGCCAGAAGTCACAGGACGTCAAAGTCAACATGGGTGATTTGATGACTCATCAGAAAGCTCTGTAGGAGACGTGATGCGTGAGTGGATGCGTTGTCGTGATGAAGCTGTTAATTACCATTTGCTCATAGCCGTGGCCTTCTGAATCATTCAAAAAAATTCCATGGAGGAATGTTCAAGTTTAATGCAAAATCTGTTGCTTTTCTTGCTCAGTCCTTTTGAATGTGACAGCTACAAAGTACACATGCTCACTCAATGGTGTTTACCACCCCCACTGACTAGCACAGTGAAGTCATCATTGTTCACACATGCACATTCCAGTCCACTCTCCCTGGCTGCCAGGTTACATTGATGTTGGCACAAACTGTTCTCGTATCAACAATGGCTGGACTTTTTCTGGAAAGAACTCATATATGGTTATCAATCTTTGTGATCAGCATTCCCAATGACTCTAAAGCTTACTGCAAATACAACAATCATGTAAGAGGACCATGAGATATTTTGGCCCATTAATTTAAAAAGCACATTTTTATTTTGTTAAAAACTTGAAGTGCCTGGTATTCAAATCCTCATTTGAGGTTATACACCTTTTTCCTGGAAGCAACTAGATTTGAGGATTTTTAAAAAAAAGTCTTCCAGTGACCAGAAAACAAGAGTAAAACATATTTAGACATTGGGATGATTATAAAAGGGAGGAGTCAGATAAATCAATTGTTAAAATGAGTACTTTAAAATAGAATCAAGACTGGGAAATGCCTTTGAATCTTGCCTACTGTGAAGCATGGAGGTCAGGAGCAAAGTTTAGGAACATGTGGAAGGTCAAGAACAATTCAGAGACTCTTGAGGGGACAGCAGTAAGGGAGCTTATATGCTCAATACATTGTGGAGCTGATTGTTTTTTTTCCTTCTGAAATTGTTTTTGGTAAGTTATGATTTTTTAAGTAGCCTCTTAAAACATTAGTCACTGCATTTTACAAGTGCCTGCTGCCTGTTTCTAAGACTGTAAACATACCACCGTACGTGGCAAAAATGGTAAAGATTATCATGCCAAAAATGGCTTTTTAAAAAAAGCCAGGCCAAACAAAATGCAAGTTGTAGACTGTCTTAACTGGTGTATTCTTTTTAAAATAACTTAGCATATGTTCAGAGCAAATGTACTACTTCGAAGTTATACTTTGGAAAAATGATTTTATCTATTTTTAGGAAGAGTCCACCGTTCACCTAGGCCAAATGTTGAAAGAAAATCACTGGCTTGTGGAACTATACATGAGTAAGCACGACGTCAGAAACCCTGGTCTCAAGCAGCTGTGTGATGGGCTGAATCTGAACAAAAGCCTGCGCTACCTTGATATCAGCTGGTAGGTGATAATCTAGACAATAAGTGATTCAGAAATTAAGACATGAGAATAATCTATGTACATATTCATGGTATGTAGGATATTTTATTCCAAAGATTAGAAAACACAACCACTATTATCAACCTTTTATCCTAAGCTTTAGAATTTAGTTTATACTGATATTAATCACCTAATAACTCCAGTGAGCAGTTTAATTATGTAAACCATAATAGAAGCAACATTTTATGGTAAACTTTCATTAGTTTTTTTTTTTTGGAAATTGAATGATTAAAAATAAATGTTTACTAAACTAGGAAGTACTGTTTATTACTATGTTTTTAAAAAGATTTTATTTTTAGAGAAAGAGGAAGGGAAGGAGAAAGAGAGAGACATCAGTATATGAGAGAAACATTGATCGGCTGGCTCTTACACATGCTCTAACCAGGGACTGAACCCACAACCCAGGCTTGTGCCCTGACCCGGAATTGAACTGGTGACCTTTCAGTTTGCAGGAAGACACCCAACCAACTGAGCCACACCGGTCAGGGCACTATATAACAGTTTTTAAGCATGTTATCTCTATGAATAAAATACTTCAAATTACAAATGTAAGTACATATTTTCTTCTTTCACAGCAATAAAATAACTCGTGATGGAATCACTTCTTTGGCTGATGTCCTGAAAAGCAATACTACCTTGGAAGTAATAGATCTTTCTTTTAACAGAATAGAAAATGTAGGAGCAGAGAAACTCAGTGAAACTCTTGCTTCACACAACACGAGTCTTAAAGCGTTAGTATGGTTTTATATTTAATCAAAATAATAGAAAATTTGAAATGTAATCTCAAACCACTTAAGATTCATGATGAAATATGTGAACACATTTTCTAAAGTCAATTTCATCTATTTTTGAAAAGTACTCTTAAAATAGTAATAAAATAATAGGGTAATAATAAATTAATGAGAAAATTCTTACTGCTTATGTTTATTCTGAATTCTAACAAAAATCATAACTATTCAGTCAACTAAAAATAAAGAATGAATAAAAAAATTACTTTGGTGACTTTATCTTGAAAAATATATCTGTAATCCATCCCCAAATGTTTACTGAATAATAGTAAAACTATTTCCAAAATGTAGGTAGCCCTACTAGGTACATGAAGCATACAATTAGAAAACTGCATCCCTTGGATGTTAGGAATTACCTGGTCAATATTTTGACTGCTGCCCTAAACATATTTAAGGATAATCCTACAACTTTACACAATAACCTGTTTGTAATAAATGCTGTTGCTAACTTATGCATTCTCTTTTTATGGAAATACTGGTTTCTAGGTTGTCAGTAGTCAGCAACAGTATAGAGGGAGAAGGACTTGTTGCCCTTTCAGAATCGATGAAAACAAACACCACACTCTCTAATATCTACATTTGGGGAAACAAATTTGATGAGGCTACATGTGTGGTAAGTTTGTTTCTTGACTGAAGACATATTTCTTGGGGTCTTCTCTGTAACATCAGACATTTATAATTATTTACACTATTACAAGTGCATTAGGAATGATTACAAAGTAGAGTGAGACACTTGTTTTGATAAATTTTAACATTAAGTCTTAAAAATTAGCTACTGGAAATTTTGGGGTTGAAATAGCAAAAGATATCAAACTACTAAGGTCATATACTAAAACCCGAGTTTAGAACTAATAGTAAAAAGCTAAAGCAGAATGCAACTAGACTTTTAAATCTTTTACTGTATAATTTTTGCCTTTCTCTATAATTTCAAACTTACTGACAAACCAGTTGAACATATTTGTAACACACCCTTACACAGATACCAATGATCCATGAGATATACAAGGTAATTTCTACAACGAAGAAATAATTAGGCAGCCAGCCAGGTCAGCATCTAATAGTACTATGGGGATTATTCTCTTAGCCTAAATCTGTAGATTTGCTTCAGCGGCCTCATGAACTCCAGAGTTGTACGACAAAATCTTCACTTGCTCACTTCTGAGAAATGGTTTCCCCACTATCGTCAGATCTTCAAGGACATAGATAATAGCTACCCCCCTGCTGTGGGATTTGAAAATTTTGACCATGGGATCTTTGGTCCACACAATTGGTAATACAGAGAATTGTTAACTCTGGTAGTCATTTTTTAAAAGTACCTAATATATTAGAAATGTTGTAAAATTATAATTTCATTGTATGAAATAAGTGAATAAAAACCTAACCACAGTACCTGGAAAATATTAAGACTCAGCAATGTTTAGAATACTTATTATACACTGAAAATTAGCATGGCTAATTTGTTTAAGCATTGTACAGTGAACAAACTGTTTTCTTAATGATATAGTTTCTCTTTTCTTAAAAATCTTAGGCATATTCCAACTTAATTCAAATGGGCCGTCTGAAACCAGACAATACAGATGTGGAGCCATATGTGGTGGACGGACACACGTATCTTGCAGAAGTCTCCAATGGCCTTAAAAAGCACTATTACTGGACACCAACTTATGGAGAAGCTTGCAGCCCCTCATCTAATGCGGGTTTTAGTATTGTACCAGTAGGCGAACAGCTGTGAAAAAAGGCTCTTAAATTTCATACATTTGTCTTACTACATTCACAGATTAGTATTTTATTGCTTATTAAATTTCTTTCATAAATTAGAACAAGTTACTTTTGTCAAATATGTAAAAGATATATTAAACTTTGTACAACTATGCCTTATGAAAAACTTGACTAGTGTAATTTTTAAAAGAAATTTGACAAAATAGAGACTAACATTTTAACCCTGGAGAATCAAGGAACTAAACTATTTTTATAAAGAAAAATATCACCAAGAGTAAAAGAGCAATGAAGCAAAGTCGTTAGAGGTATGCTAACTGAAAGTTGACGTGAAGTGGCAAAACGGTTTCAGGTGGCAGGTTCTCAGGGAATTTCAAGGGGGTTAGGGGTAGAAGTATGTTATGTCTTATTTAGGTATTACAGGTGGGTGTTATAGAATCTCACAAATAAAGGCAAATATATATAAATATAAACATTTACAAACACATGTAAGTATCTTTCCAAACAAGTCAGTGCTGCCAATGAGCTTTTTAAGATAGTTTCTTTTGGAGGGTGCCAGTAACATTTTATATGATTTAATGGTAAATAATGATTGTTGCCTGAGTCCAATCTTGTTTTTAAATTAAGATTCCCATGAAGAGGCAACTGACAGTATGATCCTTTGTTTAGAGACCTATACTCACAAACTTATTAATTCATACACAGGCAGAGGCTGCTTAATCTGAATGATTTATTACTGCTCAAGCCAGACAAAGTATTAAAAAAAGTATATGAACAGCTTTTAAAAGGTACTTTAAATTGAGGTTCTGCAGTCTAAAAGTAAATGACAGTCTATCTCTAAATGTTGAGGAAGGAGTAATAGAGGTGGTGGTCAGCTTTATAGTTATCCAAGTAATGACATCCACTTGACAGTATTGTGAATTCCTCAAATCATAGCTGTAGTCTAAAAATTTAACATTAAAAAACCCAAACATATCTGCCACTGCCCATCCTTTAGTAGATTAAACAATTAAGGTAAATATCCCCTACTCACTATTTCATTATTTTTAAAGTTTAACAGGTCTTTCCTTATACTCAGCACCTTTCCATACTCCCTAGGAAGGTGAGGATGGTGGTGGTGGTTTTAAAATGGGAAGAACATTTGAATAATTGTATCATTATTTTCATTTAACGTTCGGGAGTCATGAGCCAGAAAAGACCTGAAGGTCTTAACAAATTCATTCCTGTGCTAGCAGAGATCAATTTGAATCATCCAGGAGGGATGGTGGCCATCAGGTTGAGTCTGTGCTGAAAAACAAAATCTTGAAACATCTGGAATTGGTTGAAAAATGTACACTTAGTAGTTCATGTTAGTGACACAATGTGTGGATTTCAAAGGTTTTTTTCAACATAAATATTGTTTATAAATTATGATAAAGAAAACTACCATGTCTGGGAATGGAATTTTATATATGACTTTCCATGATGCCAAAAAAAAAAACCCACATTGAGTATTTACTGTCAACAAATGTTTACAATGGAATAAAGCTGTAGAGAGCACAGAATGTATCCCGACTCATACACTGATTTTACTTGTTGATTTTACTTTTTGTTATTAAGTGTTATTGTTATCAAGCCTTACATGGCAATGCTCTTCTCTACATGTTTCAAATCTTTTCTTTCCATTTTAAGACCTCATCCCTGCAGATTAAAAAGACTATTTTTTTAGAGTTCTTTTACATTATTATATGCCAAATATATCTAGAAGTATCTATCTAAAAAGCCCTATGTCCCAGGAAAGTCAAAGTGTCTCTGTAATAATTACAAGTGCAATAGGAAGAGAATACAATTTCTTAATCAAATTTGAAAACCTGCAGAATTCAATGAAGCCAATAAAACCATGCTATAGGAAAAAGCAAAAGCATTTTAAACTGCTACTCCTAGCAGTTAAAGATCCAATAAACTCAAGTTTGAATGACAATTGATATGACAAACTTCTTATACTTGAAAATCTGTCCAGAGTTAGCAGAGTTTGTCAAACTACAGATATTAAATCAGCATTTTTTAAAGTGTGGAGCATCAGAATCCCTGGGGCAAATGTTTGAAATACATTTATATTATTAGAGTCAGACCTACTGAATCAGAATTTCTATTCAGTCTGTGAAATCTGTATTTTTACAATCCAGGTTACCTTTAATCTCACTATAGTTTAAGAACCAATGATCTGGTTTTCTCATTCTTCAATTTTTGTTTTTTAAACAATATATACATACTTCTTTTAAATGGAAGCATAACATTCATACAGAAAACTACAAAAATTGTAAGTGAACAGCAAGATGAATCATCGCAAAGCTCGCCACCTATGTAACCATGACAGACGGACAGCAAATGCCACAAGCCTCTCCGAAGCTCCTCCAACGCTCTTCCTGTAGACACCACTATCCTGACTCCTTTGATAACTGCTGTTTCCGGATATTACGTAAATGGAATCAAACAGTATATACGTTTTTGTATCTGACTTCTGTTGCTCAGCATTAGTGATTCATGTAACAGTAGTCCATCTTTTACGGCTTTGAAATACTCTATAATATGCTGGGTATTAGAGGAATCTACAGCATTCTGGAAAGATAGTGTCTCAGCTAGGACACAGTCACATCCAAGTAAACCTTAGTACCATGGCTTGCTTTTCCAGGCCTCTCAGTTCCTGTGTGCTATGGTGGGGGTCCCTCAAGTTCCCATATTCTCTGCCCCCAAGAGGAGACTCAGGAGACGGAGTTGCAGAAGTCTCCAGATTCTCTTCACCTAAGAGAGCCAAGATGAGGCCGGTCTAGCCAAGAACTACTGGCATTCCATCCAGGACAGGAAAAACCTGATCATGTATTTCATAAGCCGTCGCCTAGTGCGTCAGAGGCCAGGAAGATGCCCAGAGAATGGAAGAGCTGAAGACACTGACTGCCTCCATGCCACTGTGTCATGTAAGCCCCCTCCTCCATATATCTAGACACCATTTTGGAGAGAAGGGCAGAAAATAAGATAATAATATTCCAAGAGTTTAATCATTACTTTAAGATATTATAAGGCTAGGTTTTCAAGTTGGTTAGGACTCAAGTTATTTTCCAGATCTCCCACTGGTGGGGGGTCAAGCGGAAGGACAGGTACGTTCTGTAGGAAAACTACTTCTGCAAATGTGAAGTGTAATGAGCAAATCTGCACCCATGTATGTTTTAATAGAAGTTTCCTTCCATTTTCCTCTTAGCAGTCCTCTATGATCTGGCTGATATACAGCCTCGTATCACAGTGCTGCAAATTATTTAATGCTCACTTTACAATGTTTCAAATTTAAGCAAAAAAGCAAGAAACAGTTTTATACTTTTTAGATATTTGATAAAATAATGATCTTGTTTGTGCCACATGATGTCCTTTTCAAACTAAACAGTATTATGTTTTACCTACTACTCAAACCACATCCACCTGGCTTTTGCTCCCAATCACCCAACCCAATGTTGTCTTTGACTGGCATCCCTTTTAACTTCCTGTACCACGTGACCAACACAAAGCCACTCGTCTTTGTGAAACTTGCTCCACTGTTTTTGTTTTTATCACTTTCCATCTTCTGTCCTTTATTCATCCTTTAAAAATATTTCCCCAAGATTTTGTCCTCATCCTTCGCTCTTCTGTACCATCTCCCAGAGCTGCCTTAGTCATTTCTATCACAATAATTATTAATCTTGTTCTGCAAGACCTGTATCTCTAGTTTTAACCTCTCCTGGGTCTCAGGCTCCATTTCCAACTACTGCTAGATGGTTTCACATGGATACCTTACACTAATCAAACTCAGTACATCCAAAATAAAGTCTTCTCATTCATAAATGTCCTTGGTATCACCATTTCGATCACTAAGGATCAAAACTTAGGGGTCTTCAAGTTGGGCTATCTAATTGTAAGGAATAGAAACTGACCCAAGCAGGTCAGTTTAAGGGATTTACTCTAAGGATGTAACTAACGGGCAAAAACAATCACTGGCATCCAGGGACAAGGAAGTGAGGCGTAGCTGTGCCCCCTCCAGAATAGGCCTGAAAAGCTAGAAGCCCAGGCCACTCCTTTCACGGGGCCTCAGTTGTTTGGTTCTGCAAACCTACCCCCCACCCCCTGCCTCCCCTGCTCTACAAATCAGCTTTCTCTGCCATTTCCTTTAGATTTTGGCTTGCTTCACCAACTGTGGGCTACTTGTAAATGATCTTTTCATTTACGTGTATGCATAATAGCCTCAGCATTGCATAGAAAGAACTAGCTCAGTCTGGCCTAAGAATTGTTCCGCCCCAGTAAGGTGTTCGGTCAGCTGTGGTGGTTTCGTATGGTGTCATGTGGTACAAACATGGCTGTCCAACCCCTGTCCTTCAGCACGCAACCGAGGGGTGTGTGAGAATGTGGGTTACAAACTTGGCTATCCAATCCCATTCCTTCGGCACAGGCTAAGGGTAGAGCACTATGGCAAGTAAGATGGGATAGGTACAGACCGTGTCTACAGGACATGTCTTAGACGTGTGTCTCATTTCATAGGTGCTCCTCATTCTGCCCATCTCGGTGAGCTGTGCGCAACTTGCTCCCATCAGCTATCTTGTTTGCAGATCCAGGGGATCAACGGTCCTGTCTCTGTCCATTCAACTCCTTCTGACTGCTCAGCATTTCCTTTCTTGCTTTCCTCCCCTGTAGTACTCAACATTCTAACTTATTTTATTGCTATTTATATCCAGGCTTGTCTTTCTCATTTGACTGTAAACTTAAGGGTGTTTATCTATCTTTGTAGCTTCATGTATTATGATTTAACTTTCAAGCATTTGAAATAGTAGCCAGATATTTCAATTCAAATATCTGTTCACATCCACAATGTTTTAGACTATTCTTCTCAAAATGGAATAACCTATTTCTGCATGATTACTTAATTCCTTTAACAAACATACCAAATCTCACCTGAATGAACAGGAATAGGGGTTGCAGAAGACAGAAAAAGAAACCATATTATCATCTCAAAAACTTAATACTCCAATAAGTAAATCTCAATACTGTTTATAAATAATGAGTAAAAGTGTAGAACTTATAGGTATTGTATTAAAATACAATTTACAATTTCTTTTTACTCAGTGGTATTTCTAGCTAAGTTCTACAGACTCAAAATCTCTGAAAAAGATGGAAAGTTATATCAAGAGCTTCATTTATAAATGCTTCCCAAAGGAAGAACATAAAGAAATATGTAGGACAATAGTTCTCATCATATAGTAATACATTGAAATAACCAGTGGGGCTTTGCCAGCATGTACATGTCCCGAGGATTCAGTAGGCCTAAGTTGGGGCGGGGTTTGGATATCATTATTCTATAAAGATGTTTCCGATATGCATCAAGTGGTAGAACTACTATTCTTGGATATCTAGAAACATGAATACATGTCTTTACACGAATATATTTCCACTACGCATTTGCACAATTTCTGTAGAATTAAAACATACAGAAAAGTGATAAACTATTGTTGCAACAGAACTGATAGAACGTTTTCTTTTGGAAAGAAAAACAATTTTCTAAAATTTGTCTATCAAATCCTATGAAATTAAACACAAAACAAGTACCATTTAAAAACAGCAAAGATCATTTATATATAGTCTATTGTTTCTATTGGAAAAGTCTAATCTCTATCAATATAGTAATAAAAATCTAATACAAATATAAAACAAAATTTAGAAAATAATTTGTTACTCAATAAGATCTTCAGTATCCCACTTTCAAAATACTTAGTAATACTTAAATAATTTATAGAACCTTCTTAGCACACTGTATTATAATATATTTAAAGATCAACTGAACTAAAATGAAAATTGTATTAGAATGATACTGGATACAACTAAAATATAAGCACATCATGATAAAAAAAAGAATGGTTTTATGAAGAATGACAAGACAGTAACTTCAGTTTTCAATTTTTGTTTACCTGTTCATTTTGGAAGAGTATCAAGCCATCCCAATTTAAAATAAAATTATTTAAGAAGCAGATACTGTGATGAAAAAAGCACAGCAAATCAATCACACCCACTCTAATCCAGTAATGCTAAAAATAATAAATGTGAAGGTTAATCTATGCAAAGGCAGAATGCTAATTACCACGTTAGAGGAAATTTGGTGCTTTCTGCCCTCACAGAATTATGACATCACTGTAGTGTTTTTAAAAAGAACTTTTGTTCATTAGATGTTTAGGTTAATGAAGGTGTCAATTAAATATAACCTATTTCAGCAGACTTCTTTAAAAAGCCGAGTCTTTTAATTTTCTTTAAAACATTCACATTCCAATAAATTCCTATTGCATTTAAGCCAAAACAGATTAGTTGAACATTTTATAACTATAAATTGTATTTAAACTCTGTATGTTAATATACATGCATAATTAGATTTCTTAGATAAATAATTAAATACTATGTTTGATGGAAATACAAGGCAATATTTCAAACTCTATTCAATTAAGTCAATACCACTGGTAGCAATTTATTGTGAAAATGCTGAGTGTGCTGTGAAATGGTG